GAGAGGAGAGGAGAGGAGTGGAGTGGAGTGGAGAGGAGAGGAGAGGAGAGGAGAGGAGAGGAGAGGAGAGGAGAGGAGAGGAGAGGGGAAGGGCATGCGGGACCAGAGGAGGAGAAGAGAGGAGATGGAGTCACCGGCAGTAGTGCAGCCCTCCAGGAAGGAAAGCTGCCTCCGAGCACGCGCGGGTGAAGGGAGCGACTTTCTCTGAACCTTTGCGCTCCTGCGCGATGGCGTCGGGATCGACCTCGAGCTGCAGAAGTCAGCTGAAGGGTTGAAGTAGAGGAGAGGGAGAGGAGGATGAAGATGAGGGGGGGGAGGAGGAGAAAAGAGAAAAGCAGCAGCAGGAGGAGGATGATGAAGGGAAGAAGAGTGAGGGCAAGCAGGAGAAGAAGGAAAAGGAGGAGAAAAGGGAGGAGGAGGAGGAGGAGGAGGAGGAGGAGGAGGAGGAGGAGGAGGAGGAGGAGGAGGAGGAGGAGGAGGAGGAGGAGGAGGAGGAGGAGGAGGAGGAGGAGGAAGGTACCAGCAGAGCTTCTGCAAGTCTTTGCCCCATCTCGAAGTGATTGAATTCATCCATCTTTCTCTTGTCCTGCATCCCTACTTAACAATCCGACCCTCCTGCTCCTGCTCCTGCTCCTCCTGCTCCTGCTCCAGCTCCTGCTTCTCCTGCTCCTGCTCCCTCTCCTCCTCCTCGTTCTCACCTGAAATCTGCGAGCAAACTTCACCATCTCTCCTCCTGCGATGATCTTGGGGTCGTTCGTCTTGAATGAAATGTCGACCACAAGCCTGCAAGAAGAGATCAACGTAAATGGCGAGATGATGATGATGATGATGATGATGATGATGATGATGATGATGATGATGATGATAATGATGATGATGATGATGATGATGATGATGATGATGATAATGATGATGATGATGATGACGAGGAGGAGGAGGAGGAGGAGGAGGAGGAGGAGGAGGAGGCAAGGAAGGATTAAGGAAGAGCATCAACACCGACAGAGGGGATGAGGAAGAACCTGCCATCGAAGACGAGAGATTGATCGTTGATGGCTGAGAACAAATCCTTGTCCACCCCCCGCTCACCGAGAAGAATGAGGAGGGAGCATGGCAGACTCTCCTCCTGCACATAGACAGAGAGTGAGAGGAGGAGGAAGAGGGAAAGTTGGAGGGAGGGAGGAAAAGGGTGACAAGGAGGAGGCAGAGTAAAGGAAGGATTGAACAAAGGGTGCGAGCACAGAAAACTCTCTGACCTCTTTTGTGACAACTCCCGTCACTCGCTGAGCTCGTTGCTCCACCTCTCGAATGTCGCAGCCGGTCTTGAGCTGGACTCCGCTCCTCTTCGCCGCTTCCACCACAAGCTCGTCCACCCGCTCGTCTCCCGTCGGCCTCAACTTCTTGTGGGGACAGGCGATGGTGATGCTGCCGGCAACTCCCTCCTCCTGCAGCCTCCGCGCGCTCACAAACACGTCGAGGGAGGAGCCGAAGATGACGACGTTGAGATTCTGCGAGAGAGAGATGAGGGAGCGGAGGGAAGAGAGAGAGGAGGGGAGAGCACGGAGTGGGAAGGGAAGAAAGGAGGGAACGGAGGGGAATCAAGCATGGAAGGAGGAAGGAGTACAGGAGGGGAGAGGAAAGGGGAGAAGAGCAGAGGAGGAGGGGATGAGGAGAGGAATACAGGAGGACAGGATGAAAGGAGGAGGAGGAGGAGGAGGAGGAGGAGGAGGAGGAGAGTGATGGCGTCACCTGAAGGTTCGGCTGATTCTTCAGCCATGCATGGAGTGCATCCTCCTGGTAGAGGTTGAAGGGTGAGAAGACTCCATCGACGTCCCTGCGTTGAAGACATGAGAAGAGATGACAGGAGGAGGAGGAGGAGGAGGAGGAGGAGGAGGGGGAGGAGCCAACCAGAGCTGCAGTCTGTCCATGATGGTATCACGGAACCCAGCTGCTAGGACGAGGTGATCATACTTCATCTCCACAGTCTCCCCGTTGTCCATCCTTACGCTCACCACCTGCTCCTCCCTGTCCAGCTGAGCGATGTTCCCCTCCACCACCCTGCATCCTCTGCTGACCGCATGCTGCCGGTACTCCGGGTCAGAAAGGCTCAGGCTCCTCCTCTTGTACAGTGGAGGCCGGAGGGAGAGGCCGCCGGAGGAGACGTAGGAGACGCGGTGGAGGTTGAGGTAGGGGACGCTCATGATGGCGTCGGCGAACCCGACGGAAGTCTCGGAGCCTCCGATGATGACGATGCGGTCGTCGAGGTCTTTCTTGGGCTGGCTGAGGAGTCGGAAGTTGGTGTGCAGAAGGGCCGGGGGGCCCTCGGGCATCGGCAAGTTCGGCTCCAGTGCAGTCTTGGCAGGGTCGAGGTCCTGCGGGGGAGAGGAGGGAGCGAGTCTGCGGCAGGGGATGTAGGTGAGGGTGTCGTAGGCGCGGGGCATGGCCTTGGCGTCCCGGACGGAGGCATGCAGGCAGAAAGTCTCAGTGATGCGAAGAAGCTCTCTCAGGATCTCGGGGACGCGCTTGAGGAAGATGGGGTTGACCAGGAGGTGCAAGAGCTCTAGATGCTCGTCACTGCCGTACAGCCCCGGGCTCATGAACTGCTCGAGCTCGAACCACTTGGAGAAGGTAGCTGGCTCCTTGCTGGGGGTGACCACGGCGATGGCTGATAGCTGGCCCTCCAGGCGAGCGAGGAAGACAGACTCCAGCTTCGCTGCGTCCCTGAGGGAGGAAAGAACCTGATCCTTGCTCTGCTCTCCCTCAAGGAAGTCGCTCACCTCCTCCACGTCGCCCTCTCCTGCTCTGCTCACCTGCATCGGCCACAAGAGGGACGCCCGATGACAGATGTAGAGAGCATGCGAGAAGTTGCAGCCGAGCTTCTCTGGCACGGGATGGAAGAGATGGATCAAGCTGCTCTGCCTTGCCGTGTGACGCTTTGTGAGGATACAGTACTCCTTGTCGGGGAACAAATCCAGCGCTGGCTCGAGCAGTTTGTGCACCTGCAGATCTCTTTAGTCATGACGATGACGAGGACGAGGACGAGGACGAGGACGAGGACGAGGACGAGGACGACGATGATGATGATGATAACGGAGATGATGATAATGGAGACGATAACGGAGATGAATGATGATGATGATGATGATGATGATGATGATGATGATAACGGAGATGATGATGATGATAACGGAGATGATGATGATGATGATGATGATGATGATGATGATGATGATGATGATGCATTTTTGTTATTCAAACCTGGCTGTCAAGTCTGGGGTCGAGGCAGAAGAGTGTGATGCAAACAGTGTTGGACGAGAGAGTCTGCAAGTCCACTGAAGGCTCAGGATGCGCCAAGAACTCTCCGATCTCCATGAGAGCTTCTTCCTCTGCTGCTTCAATCCGCTGCGCAAGCTCCTGGTCGAACATTTCTTCTCGCTCCTTCTCCTCTGCTTCCAGCTCCTCTGGCGTCTTGTCAGCCTGTGAGGGGATCGGTCACGCACACCTCTCCTCCTCTCTTGCGGAAACGACTTACATCCTCTTCCTCCTGCTTGTCCGCACGCTCGTCCATCATCTGGCTGTACTCCTCCTCCACCTCCTCCCGAGCCGCGCGCCTCGCCTCCGCCAACATCTCCTGCACCTGCCGCTCGTGTTCCTCCTTCCTCATCCTCTCCCGCGCCACGTGGTCCTCGTGCAGCTTGACGGCTGCCTCGGCGTATCCCTGCACAAGGAAATCGTACGTCTCCAGCTCGAATGCCTCTTGCAGCGCCGCCAGGCTCATGTCGCCGGTCACTCCCAGGATCCCCACCGCCTTCCCGTTCAGCTCAGCCACCAGCGCCTTGTTGGTCTCGTCCTGCGACTGAATCATCTGGGCAAGGAAGAACTCCCCGTACGCGTCCGCGTCCTCGTTCTGTGCCTTGAAGATGGGCATCAGGTCGTCGTGATCCTCCACCATCGCCAGTCGCACCACCACCTCCCCCACCACCTCCTTGCGGTTCACATGGTAGCAGCCATAGTTGTTCTTGACGTCGGCCTGGAGCACCAGAGGCTCGAAGTTTCCCAGAAGGGGTTTGAAGAGAGGGATGCTGACGGGGATGAAAAGCAGGACATGCTCCACCTGCGAGAAGGTGTTGAATGCCATCTTGAGCACCTCGTTGAGAGCCTGTTCCTCATGCGCGTGCTCCGAATGAAAGAAGTTGAGCACCAGCGTGTTCGAGTAGTCGACGTCCTCTCCGTCTCCCATGTTTGTACTCCACATCCTCTTGACGTCATCGATCCACATAGACGGCTTGAAGTCTCCAACTAGCGGAGCATGGTGGAACGCTGCAAACCCAACCAGCCCGCCATCGTCGTCCTCCACGCAGCAGGAGAGGGCGCATCTTTCCATCATCCGGATGAGATCGAAGGGTCCCCAGTGTTTCTCAAGGATGGAGGACTCTACCTCGCACAGGCTCTGAACCCTCTCCCTCTCTCCTTGCCCTCCTCCCGCCCTCCTCGTCCTTACTGCCATGACGTTCAACGGCTATCGGTCTTCCAGCTTCACCGGTACTCCAACGCCTTTTGTTCAACCCCTCAATTCCTCTGTACTCGTTGAAGAGGAACGACACATAGGTGGGTGGGGTACTTCAGACTACCCTTCGTTTACCATGCTTATAAGGTAAAAATGGAGGGTACTTCATAAAATTTTGGGGTCATTGAGGTGAAGAGGTAGGGGTGGACAGGAGGGTGATAACTCGAGCCATGGCACTGCGGTAAGGCAGCTTCGGGGGATGGAGGCGGGGAGGACGGGAGGGGAGGAGGGGAGGGAAGAGAGGAGAGAGGAGATGGCAGATGTACAGTATCAGATGAAGATACAAAGTGGTAGATTGGTTGGAAGGGGGACGGAAAGAGAGGGGGACAGGGCAAGAATGTCAGAGGGTGAGTACTGAAGCGACGAGGAAAAAGGAGGGGAAAAGGAGGTGAGAGGGGAGAAAGGATCGAGAGTAAGGGAAATGTGTGTTGGGCATTAGAAGGTTGCTGAACGGAGAAGGTGGGCATGTGAGATATGATGATGGTTGTGGTAGGGGAAGGGTGGAATGGGATCTTGCAGAACGAGGTCAAGTGAGATGGCCGGGGTTTCTTTAATCTGGCGAAGAGAAGTCCAATAGGGTAGAGAACCTCATGAAGTAGAGGGAATGGAAAGATGGTGTAGGAGAAGGCTGTGTGAGGAGCTGGAAAGGAAGAGGAGAGAGGATCGGTCGGTATCGGAGGCATTGATTTAATATGAACAGGTTGATCTCCGGTATGGCGAAGGCCTGCGTTCCGCAGCAGACCTCGGCCCTCAGTCTTGCATGGAGGATGGGGAGTGTCCGCGGCGTGAAGGCTAGCTCCCGAACGGTGAAGGTGATTCTCAAGCAGGACATGGAGCACTTGGGGTTTCGTGGCGAGTTGCATGCAGTTAGGCCCGGTGAGATGGTAACTGGTCTCCTGCTGCTGCTGCTGATCGACCTCGCAGGCCATGCTCGAAATTATTTGATACCGCAGAAGATAGCTGTTTATGCCACCCTGGACAACATGCAGAAATACTTAACTACCAGTGAGGAGGAAGCACAGTTGAAGAACGAAGAGAAAGTGAGAAGAGACTGATCGTAGGCCCTGCGATGCTGATGGTTCTGCTGCCAGATACGACAAAGGAGGATGGAGAAGCAGCTGTCGAAGCTGAAGTTGACGATGAAGAGACACAGCGTTGAGGATGGCAAGCTCTACGGGTCTGTGACAGCAAAGAACATCTCAGATAAACTCGCCAAGTAGACGATGATCCTTGCAAGTTTGATCAGACCTGACAGCTCGATACAGGATAGACATGGAGATCAAGCCCGAGGACATCCTTCTTGAGGCCCCCATCAAGGTGCTGTTGAATTCTCCTTGGCTCCGAATCTTAATCTCTTTTTTCTTCCTTTCCTGCCTCATCGATTCTCCTGAACTCAAAACAGGAACTGGGAAGTTTCGATATTCCTGTTCGTTGGGAGGGCAACCGTACAGCAACTCTCAAGCTTGAAGTGTTGAAGCGGTGAGGTGCTTGAGTAAACGGTGTCATGCAGCTGAGAGCAGAGGAGCAATCAAAATGAGACTTTCAAAATGTCGGCTCTGTTCTTCTCGGATCGCTAGCTTCACGTTTGCTTTCGAATGAAATACAATCGAAATCGATGGGGCATCCATCATTTCTGCAACATTTGAATGTTTCCTGTACGAACCAAACTGACAAGAATTCATTGCTATTTCATCATAGTCGACTATGTACATGGATCAATTTGATTCTAGACCAATGTGTACAGGGGTAACTGCTCCTGAGCTGTTAATCTTTCACATTAACATTTCATCAATCTTCTCCCCAGCCCTTCAACTTCCCAGGGTCAGGAACCGGAGGCCAACCACGTGCTTTGATTCTCCGAATCTTGCGTTCGTTAAAGACTGCATAGCCACCCTGCTGCTTCAAGGTGTCGTGAACCTGCCGAGCACGCAGTCATGATCTATCGCAAGATCCAAGGAAAGAGAGCAACAAGCAGGAGCACAACCATCGGACGTAAATGAGTTAAAGGTGGGTGACGTTGGGGATGGTGCGACATTTCTATGCGCGGGGGGGAAAGCAGACAAGAAGAGAAGGGAGAGAGCCAGCGAGACAACTCGAGCACAGGAGGACTTGGACCCACCGGGCAGCCGTGTGTGTACAGGCGGTTGAGGGACGTGTCTCGTAGCAGCGCTAGGAATACACGTCAGGACATTCTTGACACTGTCATATCACATCAATCTACTCACGTTCTGGTAATGTTGGTATCGGGTTGCCTCTGATGTCTAGTTTCTGCAGTGATGACATCTCACCAAACTCTTCCGGAATCATTTCTATCTTGTTGAATGACACGTTGAATTCAACCAACTTGCCCAATCCGCTCAGTTCCGGCGGGAGCTCCTGAGTATACAAATCGAAATCAGTGCTTGCCCCTCCCTGAAGACTGAAGGTCTTTCTCACCTCGATCAAGTTTTCTCCAACGTTGAGGTACAAGAGCGAAACGCAATTTTTCAAAGCAGAAGGAATCTCAACCAATCTGTTGTGGGAGAGGTCCAATTGCTCCAACAATTTCAGTTGCCCCAGTTGTTCAGGAATAACATCAATGACGTTGTTGCTGACGATGATTTCTTTGAGAGCAACCTGCAAAAGCTGTCAACATAAAGTCTTGTGGATCATACACCAAGTACGCAGTCTCCGATGCTGCTCGGCAGTTTTGACAAAAAGTTCTGAGACAGGTTCAAACTCTCTAACTTGTACAGCCGACCGATCTCAAATGGCATCTCTACAATCCTGTTGGAGCTCAAGTCCACCTCTCTCAGCTTCGGCATGAAGGGCAAACGTCGAGGACACGCGGGCAGCTTCGCGTTCCTCAGCACAAAAGTTTTCGATTTCCTGGCATGGCTCTCTGCCTGATGGATTGCCCTAATGTCGAGTGGCTCCGCGACAGGAACGGAAAACATGATCCCCATCACCTGGGGTTGTCTGAGCAGCTTCTTCCTCTCCTTTCAGAGCTCCCCAGTCCTTGGACCAACACAAACCCCTCCAACGCTCACAACTTCCCGACGCATTCGATCCGTCCGATTCAACCCGTTGGATGGTTGACACGTGCGCATTTCAGGTTCGTGTGAGCTCCTCCTTCACATTCTATCAGAGCATTTGGAGCACAGATCTTTCGGTTCTGTCTCGCCTCAACAGACCGTCTGCTACTTGTGAGCTAAATCCTTACCGCCCGCACTCCCCACTCCTTCCTCTGAGTTTCGCTCGCTCAAAGTTGTAGTCCACCTTGACAATGATATCCCTGTCTAGAGCACTTCTTCACATCACAAGAAGACTCCTTCTCTCGCCTGACCCTTCCTCCTCCTCCTCCTCCCCCTTGTTGCTCCCCGGGTCCCTCCCAAGGCACGTTCACCGCCATGGCGAAATGAGACAACGGAAGTCTCCCCCGCCTCAGAGCTAACAAACTTGCTGTGGAGAGGTGGGGTAGTATACGTAGTCTTCTTGGGGGTAGGGGTTGATGACACGCAGGGGTTCCAAAGCTACCCATTATTGGTGGGGTGGGTAATCAGCACCAAGTAAACTGGGGAAGCAGGGTAGTAGGGAGTGGAGATGGAGGGGTGGGGTGTACAACCAGCAGACACACAAGTGGTCATACGACAAGGGGGCGCGAGGGGTGGGGTGGGTAGCGGCGGCTGTGCAACTATGGGGCGCGGGGACGATGTCGGAGGTGCGATGCAGGTGGCGGTAGCCGTTGGAGTTGTGGCGGTGGGAGCCGTCTACTGGCTGATGAAGGGATCGAAGGGCTCCCGGAAGGAGAGGAAGGTGAGAGTCCGAGCCGATCCTCCTTCATGCCTCACCCGAGTTGTTAGATCTTCCTTGACAAGTCCAAGAAGCAGTCCGTACCCCTCACAGAGAAGATCCAGCTGTCCCATGACACCTTCCTCTACCGATTCTCTCTACCCACCCCAGATCACGTGCTGGGTTTGCCCGTCGGAAAGCACTTCAAGGCAACGACACTGTCCCAGTACGCCCTCTGACCCGCCCTCACAGATTTTCGGGAAGATTCCGACGCCAAAGGTGAAGAATGAATGGAACGGCAAGGAGGACAGCGAGCAGATCGATCCCTCTCATGACGGACTGGTGGAGAGGAAGTACACACCCACTTCATCCGATGAAGAAGTAGGATATTTCGACCTTGTCATCAAGGTGTACCGCCAAGGTTCGGAAGCGAAGGTTCGCCAAGATGGCCGAGAGTGATGCTTGTTTTCTGCAGGACACACGTACAACCCTCCGCGAGATAAGTTCCCTGATGGCGGGAAGATATCAAGATACATCGACAGCTTGAAGATTGGAGACATGCTTGAAATCCAAGGCCCCTTCGGCCATATCGAATACCTTGGAAAGGGAGTCTTCAAGGTTGGGTGCTTTCAAACATTTGGTCCGGCTTCTTGACCTTTCCTCTGTCGCAGTCATTTGCTAAGGAACTGGAGGCTGTCAAGGAGATCGGAATGGTTGCTGGCGGAACCGGGATCACTCCCATGCTTCAGATCATCAACGCAGTGTTGAGGGACAAGTCGGACACAACCAAAATCAGGCTTTTGTTTGCGAACCAGGTGACATTGATGCGTGCGAGTGCTCCCTCGTCATAACAGAGGGATTGAAGACCAAGGAAGATATATTGCTCATGGATAAGCTGGAGGAGCTGCGAGAGGCAAACAAGAGTCAAGTCAAGATCTACTACACTCTAGACAAGTGTGTTCTAATTCCTTCTTTATCATCAACTGATGATCAAACCACAGCCCACCAAAGAACTGGAAAGGATTCACGGGCTTTGTCAATGAAGGTATTCGATCCTCTCATAATGCTTCTTCTCCTACATGAGTCATTCAATGTGCCCAAGATATCAATTGACTCGCTCGCAGCCATGCTAGCGGAAACGATGCCTGCAGCTTCGGGCAAGTCTGTCATTCTCATGTGCGGTCCTCCTCCCATGATTGATTTCGCTGTACGTCCAAACCTGGACAAGGTGATCTTTGAACCATCTTGCCAGCTGAATATGACACGATGGGACCGCAGTTGGGGTTCTCCAAGAGTCAGATGTTGGCGTTCTAAGCGGAATGAAGGGAAAGCTTCTAGATGCTTCTGTGAAAGTCAATTTTGAAAATTGTTTGATGCCCAGTGCTTGTGTGTCTTGATCTGTGCCATTGACTGAGTGGATCATAGCATGTCGAGGGACGGGGAACACATCTGCCCAACCTCAATCGCTGACGTGTCTGAGTGTTTCAAGCCGCAAGTCTCCGGCAAAGCCACCAACGCACAGCAATCATGCATTATCTTGCTTCTGCTTCATCATGCGGTAACCAAGCCGCCTGTAATGGACGATGGTGATCCATTCGAGCTGGACACACCACGCGACGAGCTGAAACGACCAGAGCATGGCGCCGATCCTTGACAAAGAGTCAGTTGCCTTGAGTTGGAGTAAGCATTACCCACCCAGACGTAACTCCCGAAGCAACCAAAAGGAACATGCTTCCGATAAACGAAAATCCTCCGAAGATCGCCCACACAAGCACCCATCCTCTCTCCCAATAGTGCACCTGCCATGACGCTATTCCAGCCATCTGGGAAAGCGTTCAACCTCAAGGTATCGTCACCGTCTGCTCACCATGGCAAGGAGCGAGCATGTTGTTGCTGCTGTAGCCGCAACCCACCAGTGCTTTGTAGGAAGCATCAGGTGATAGGTCTCTCTATGAAGATATCTACTCTCACCGCAATTGCCAAGAGACAGGCAGCAGACATTGCTATACAGCCGCCGAAGACAGGAATCAACGTTCTTGGCCGACAGAAGTTGCGATCCCGCAGAAGATGAGAGTAAATGAGAGCAGTGCTTTCGATCCAATCATAATTGTTGAATGGACCAAGAACTTTTCTAATGTCTTCCGCTTCCTTCGAACGGTTCCTCAGGCCGCCTCGCGATTCTGTCACACCGATTCAAAATCTGAGAAAAGGAAGCACAAGGACAAAATTTGGAAGGAGCGGAAGTAGGAGGAAGATGAAAAGAAGAAGATTGTGGGAGGCGGGCGGGGTGAGAGGGAGAGAGAGGATGTTGTGCAAGAGCAAGCGCAGGGAGCATGGTATCTCACCGCTAGACATGGGAATGGCGAGTCTGCCTCAGACCTATCAACAAGCTCTGAGGGCAGCTTGCAACGTCACTGCAGCGAAATATCCCCAGGGATACTTTTGAAACAAGAATTGAAAAAGTGAATTTTTAGTATTGAGGGGAAGATAATGCCAGCAGTACTGAGGTGGGGTGGTGTAACAGGTGGGGTAGTCAAGAGGTGGGTGGTTGTTGATCGTGATAGAGAGGGTGGGGTCATTTAAAGGAAAGAGGAAGGTAGGAGGTGTAGTAGAGGTCATGCTTCAAGACTGGGGTTATGGAATAGAGGGTGGGGTGGGGGTATCTTTTGCCTAGGATTGGTGGGGTGGGTTCATGCTAGCTGGGGTGTGAAGTAGGTGGGGTAATGACTGACCCAGTAATCTATTGGGGTAGTTTTGGGCTCTTTGTAGGGGTGGGTGGGGTGGTTAGATGGGGTGGGGTTGAAGTCCGGTTGGCGCGGGCTGCCGGCATGGGTGAGTGGGGCATGAGAGTTGACGCAATGCAGAGGCTCTTCCCGTTGTTGCATTGACGATGTGAACATGCTGCCGAGCCCTTCCTACTTGTCCATGCTGAGATCCTCCTTTTGTCATTCCTCCCTGAGGGTTGTGGGTCTCGAAGCGATAGCTCGTAGGCTCTCAGGGTTATTGAACGCCAGAGCGATCAATCCTCGTTTCAAGGGCATGTCATGTCCGCATCATCTTGATGATTATGAGATCTTTTGTGCGTGTTGTTGCACCTCTTAAGGCATAGAGATACAAATTTCGGTGATTCCAAAGTTCCAGGCATGCACTCCACGCACGAGTACAAGCAAGTCCCATTACAAGAGATGAACGTCAAGGTAATTTGATTCAAGAGAGATAGGCACCTATTTCTCTGAATGTTTTTGTTGGTATTCACAACTTGTGTTGTAGAAGGATGACCTAATTTCCAACGACGTATCCGATATTGAAGTAGCGAACGGTGCGGATTCCATAAGATTTGATGGTTCGTAATGATCTATGGAAATCCAATCAGGCTCTGCTCATGATCACGAAACTCAAAAGGATAATGGTAATTGTCTTCTTCATTCTTGAATACCCATTTCTAAATGTATTTTCAAAGCAGCAAAGGCAATGGCCTCAAACAAGACCAATCAATTAATTAAAGCAGCGGCTTTGGTCGGTCTGGTCTTTCAGAATACGTCTCTGATTCTCTTCATGAAACAAGCATCCATAACGCCATCAGAAGGTACAATCATCTCTGTGTCGTCTCGGGGAGGGTTGATATCTTTTTCAGATGGGAAGAAAGCCTTGACGACTACAGTTGTAGTCATGGTGATGCTTGACATGGCTTCCCAGTGTGAACCTGATGCAAACATGGTTGTAGGTGGAGTTCTTCAAAATTACTGCCTGTATTCTGGAGATTGCATACCGCAGGCGCAAAAGCGGTGGATTGATAAGTGAGATCAGAGAAGAGATTGTTGGCAAGCCCAGGGAAACCATGATGTTGCTGGTCCCTGCCTTCATGTACCTGGCACAAAACAACCTTCTGTTCATTGCGGTATTGTTCAAGATGTTGAATCAGTCTCGTTTGTAATTGTTCTACACAAGGTTGCAAACTTGGAAGCCGTTGTGTATCAGGTCAGCGCGTCAGAGATAGTTTGGTAGCAAGAATCGTTTATCTTGATTGTTTTGGTCAGGTTATTGCTCAGTTGAAAATTCTCACGACTGCGGGGTTTTCCATTCTCATTCTTGAGGTATGAATGGCTTGATCTGCAGTAGGAAGCTCTTGATATCTTGAACTCTAGCGCAAGCTAACGATCCAGCAATGGTCGTCCCTCGTGTTGTTGACCATTGGAGCCGCTGGTCAATTTGGAATCTTTATTAGCCTTCAAGATTTGATTCTTTTATAGTGGTTCAAGTTGACAATTCTTCTCCTGGACAAGTCGCAAAGAAGACCGAAGTGAACATTCGTATTTTGCATGGATTGTGACTGACTCGATCATGTGAAATAGGCAAATTTATCTAGCACCATTGGACTTGCTTGTGCATTGCTTGCTCAGGTTTCATTACATCGATCGTCACTTTCGAAGGCTGACTGTCCCACGTCAGTGCACGTCTGGTTTTGCGGGAGTTTTTTGTGAGAAGATGCTGAAAGGCGGAAGGTATGCGCCTGAGATTCAGGAAAGGAGATTCAATCTCACTCAACGACAGCTCGAACATGTCAGTGCGAAATATTCAGCTTGGAGTTCCTGGATTTGTGTTCGGTATCGCAGGTATGTAGCCTCACACCTCACTTGAGATCATCTTTGTAACGAACTTGTATGGACTTTGATACTCACGACAACATCTAGGCGTTCTCCTCACCGATTACACAAAAGTTACAACCGGCGGATTTTTTCAGGTATGAATCTCACCGTTAGGTATGAGGAGCTCAAGACTTTGTTCAACAGGGTTACACATACTTGACGTGGATCGTCATATGCCTGCATTCAATTGGGGGTTTGTTGGTAACTGTCATCATGAAGTACGCAGACAACATTGCGAAGGTTTGTAGTCAGGATTCCTTCAATCCGATCGTAAACGATTTGTACGCAGACTATTGCCATCGGGATATCGTTGGTGGTTTCCACGGCGGTTTCGATGTACATCTTTGACTTCGTTCTAACTACCAACTTCTGTATTGGAGGGTAAGGTCTTCTCGCAATCATCTCTGAATTTTGACATGGGTATTAGTTCCGCTGTGATTTTCGCCAGTTTCATGTACTCATCTAACTTGAAGGTACGGCAGTATCGAGTTGTCTTAGGCAGGGTATATTGATGCTGGGATGCAGATGTGCCCAGCTCCCAAACCAGTCAACTAATTCCGAATTCCCGCTCATCGGCTATTTTTCACTTAACATCTCTTGGGCTCCGAGAATTTCCCGGCGAGTTTCCTGCCGAAGTTCAGCAGCACGACTCATTCACAGTCAAGATTCCTGTTGTAGTAAACTCGATTTCCGCAACTGAGGCTCTGCCGCTCAGTTCATCTCGCAGAGTCGCGCTCGGGTGACGGTCAGTGACCCCTTGGCAAGTTGTAGTCAAGTACAACAGCGGCCCCGCTAGTACAGGCCAGTGACGGGCCCAAACGGTCACGGCGCGTGGGTGAACTCGGAAGCATTTTTTGGAGTCAAAATCATCAACGGCTTTGTAACCGTCGATCAACTGTCTGCCAAGTCCCATGGCTGAGCACCTTGACGCTTCTGCTGATCCTCCGCCGAAAGCTCCTACCCGCCCTCCTCATTCCCCTCCCTCCTCTCCCTCCTCTCCCTCCTCTCCCTCCTCTCCCTCTCACCGCAGAGTTTCTCATGCAGCAGAGAGGGACGATCAAGACGTCAGGCGGGACGTGCTCCCTGCTCTCGCAAGTTCCCCTCAAGTGAAGCAGAAGAGGCCTCCCAAGGTCCCCGCGCTCGCTCTCTCGCTCCCGCTCGTCCTGCCAACAATGCTCGAGCACCGCAGAAAGAAGCTGGAGATCTTGACGTCAAGGACGAGCCAGCAGAGTCAGCAAGTCACAGCAGAGCGACGGGCGCTGACAGACAGGCCGGGGGAGGCAGGCAGGTACTACCCCGCTTTGAACCTGCAAGAGGAGAGCATTAAGAGCCGACATGTCAGCAAGATGCTGCCAAAGCTACGGCACAAGATGCAAGAGAAAAACGAGAAACTCAAGTATGTACAAGCCTTAAAGAATGACACGCGAGTTGTCGTGAGTTTACAAGAGAGGGTACAACTGAAGAGAAAGATCAAACTGTGGTTGTCCTTCCTCTTCTTCTACAAGTCTCTGCAAAGGCTCAAAGTCTACTGGAACGACGCCAAGGGTCTCAATGAGATGAAATACGTTCGTTTCCGCGCCGCAACAAGAATCCAGCGCGCTGTGCTGCATGTTCAGGCGAAGAAGTCGATGATATCATGGATGCACAAGCTTGTTGCTTTCAATCGCTCCTCTTGGAAGTTTCGTCTTGCTCTCAGGTGAGGTCCGTTCCTCCTCCGCACTAGCTCACTTCCCCTCTCCTCGACAGAATCCACAGGAAGAGAAGGGCCACCAGAATCATCACGGACTTCCTTCACAAGTGCGCTTCCTTCGAGAAGGCGACGGAAGAATCCAGAATCGTGAGAGGAGGAGAGGAGAGGAGTGAACTTGACGCTCTAGCATGCAGATCAGGACCAAGGTGCTGCATTTCTTCAACAAGGTCAAGAGATGTCAGCAGCTCTTCAGGGACTACTGTGCCGTAATCTTCTCTTCCCATCATCCTCGGTGGAGCTCACGTTGCTGCAGGTGCAGAGGGCAAGGTTTGAGGTGATGGAGAGGCAGTGGAGCATGTACGACCCCTCCTGTTCCCCAGCTCGTCTCACCCACCGTCCTCAAGGTTCGTCGCAAACCCCAGGCTCAACTGGGTGCTACGAGCTCCTCCTCCCGACTCCCCGTTCGACCCGTCGAGAAACTCCTTCAGGTGATGCTATCGTCCTCCTCCCGCTGCTGTACGATCCATCCTCCCTTCTGCCTTCTTCTGTTCCCAGAATTGTCTCTCCTCTACCCATCTCAACCTCCTCTCTGCTCCCTGACCTTCTCTCTGCTCCCGCTGTTTCTGACCCTTCCACGCAGTGATCTGCTTCCTTCTCACATTCTGGAGTCGCTCGACAACTTGAATCCCTTCCAGGTGACTCATTGGGTTTAGGGTTTAGGGGGGCTTCATTGGCATCAGGCGAGTTGTACTGACTTATGCTCGTAGCGAACACAGTGAGCGAAGATCTCCTCGAAATTCTCTCTCCTTCTTTATCCTCCTCCTCCTCTTCATACTCCTACTTCTCCTACTTCTTCGCCTGCTTCTTTTGCTCTTCCTATTCCTGCTCCTCCTATTCCTCGTACTTACCCTTGCAACCATTCCCTCTCTCCCTCTCCCTCCTCTTCAAGTCTTTCTCCCACTTCACCCACTCCCTGCCTCCCCTCCACTCACCGCAGTCTGCTCTCTGCCAGGTCTCAACTGCCCAGCAACCTCGTCAACGCTGAGATCGCTAAGAAGGCGGCCAAGTACCTCAAGGCAGCAAACGGCTTCCTCCTCGACTCCATGGAGACCGACGGCTTTGTGCAGGATGTGCTCAAGATGCTGAGGGTAGTTGAACCATACCCCCTCCTCCTCCTCCTCCTCCTCCTCCTCCTCCTCCTCCTCCTCCTCCTCCTCCTCCTCCTCCTCCTCCTCCTCCTACAGCTCTTGCTCCTCGCAAGGCCTCTGCACTCTCTCTCCCCTTTGATCGTCCCTCGCTCTCTTCTCAGAGGACCATCAGGACAAGCCCACCGTTACCATGGACGAGATCAAAGTGCATCTCGAGCTCGCTAAGATGAAATTCTTCAAGCACATCCTGAGGCTCAAAAGACGGAAATTTCTCGCCCGCATCGAGAAGGCGAGGAGGAGGAGGTGGAGGAGGAGGAGGAATGAAGGAGGGAGCAGCTCGTACCTGACGGTGATTCCAGCTGAAACTCAAGGCAGAGATGGAAACTATTGAAAATCTTCCAAGAGGTAAGGAGGAGCAGCAGGCAGGAGGAAGGAGAGAGGAAAAAAGAAGCAGGGGGAAGGAAGCACCGGGCAGGAGGCAGGAGGCAGGCAGCAGGAAGGAAGGGCGAGGAGGAGGTCATCTCACTCTGCTGCAGGAGCTACTCGTTTTGACGTTCTCCTGGCTCATCCCGCAGTCACTCACTTCGTGCAAAACAAGTCAGCGATCGTACATGGGGCGAAAGACTCAGAAAAAGCTCGACCATGGCGGCTACTCGCCTTCCATTCGCTCATAGACACAGGTATCCTTCCCTTCCCTTCCTCTCTCCTCCTCTTCCTCTCCTCCCTCTCCTCCCTCCTCCTCCTCCTCCTCCTGCTTCTGCTCTTCCTCCTCCTCACCGTCGTCGTCCTCTCCCTGTCCCCTCACCTCAGAGCAGGGATCCTGAGGAAAGAGATCTCCTATCATCATCAGGTCCGCACCTTCCTAGCGTCCTCCTGTCACATCCTCATCCCGCAGGTCATAACTCGCGCTGCCCTGCTCATCCACGAGCGGCAACTCCGGAAGCAGAGCCTCTTGCACAAGAACCAAACCGCCTCCATGCAGCGAAAGTCTCTTTGCCCCCGTCCCAGCTTCTCTATCCTCCTCTCTCCCCCACTCCCCCTTTCTCTCTCTCTCGCTCTCGCTCTCTCTCTCTCTCTCTCTGTCTCTCTCTCTGTCTCTCTCTCTCTGTCTCTCTCTCTCTGTCTCTCTCTCTCTCTCTCTCTCTCTCTCTCTCTCTCTCTCTCTCTCTCTCTCTCTCTCTCTCTCTCTCTCTCTCTCGTGCCTCCTCCATCTTCCAACCTCTTGCCTACGCTCCCTCCATCCCCCCTAAACCCATCACGGCCAACAGTCTCTTCCTCCTTCCTTCTCTCTCGCCCCACTCTCCTAACTCTCCCCTCCTTTCCTCTCCTCTCACTTGCTCACAGGATCCACTTCCGCCTTCGCAAGATCCAATCTCTTCCTGATATCGAAGTGGAGGTAGTGAGTGTTGCGTGTGCTGCCCGCCCCTCCACTATACTTCCTCCTCCTCCTCCCCTCCTCCTCCTCCTCCCTCTCCTCGTCTCCTCATCTCCTCTTCCTCCTTGACCAGTAACTCCAGGAGTCTTCGCCCCGCCGCAAGTCTTCTGTCTTCCAGGTGGAGAAGGTGACCGCACTGCTCTTTCTTGCTCCAGCTGAGCCCGAGCACCAGGGCGACAAGGGCTACGTGAGCGTGAGCATGGAGGAAGAGAAGGAAGAGAAGAAGAACAGATTCTCCTCCCTCATAGCAGCCATCACACCAAGAAAGGAGCGAGAGGTGAGGACGAGGACGAGGAAGGAGAGGATGGAGAGGAAGATCAAGAGAGTGGGGAGGGATCGGCGAGGGAGGGTGGAGAGGGAGGTTGTGCAAGGAGATATGGTTGTGGCGTTGACCGGCTGCAGGAGCTGGAGAGCTTCACCAAGGACGCTCTGATGAAGGTGCAGCGACTGTGCGAGAGGAACTTGTCGCTTCCTCTTGATCTCTACATGATGTAAATAAACTTCATTGCCGTCAAAAAGATCTGGGTCAGAAGCTGCAGCGACTCCTCCTCCTCCTCCTCCTCCTCCTCCTTGCCGTCTTCCTCATCCTCTTCTTCTACTCCTCCTCCTTTCAACAACAGCTGCTTCCTTCAAGGCCCGACTCGCGGCATCTTGTTGGGAGGAAGGGAGTTGTGATCTCTTGCCCCGATCGCGTTCGGATGAGAAGGACGAGGAGCTCCCTGCTGCTGGTGATGGTGCTGCTGCTTCTGCTGCTGCTGCTGCTGCTGTTGCTGCTGCTGCTGCTGTGCCGCCTTCTCCACCGACCTTTTCTTCTTAACCTGCTCGCTGCTCGTCAGCTCTCCCTCTCCTTTTTCCCTCCCTCCCTCCTCATCCTCCTCCTTTGGTCCCCATGCTCTCTCGTCGCTCCCTCACCTGCCACTCATGAAAGGCATCGGAGCCGCGGCTGGGATCGAGGTCGCGGGGAGGAGCAGGCATCGGCTCCGAGTAGAAGTAGTCATGGTTGAGCGCCTGATTCGCTGTCAAGCGGTGGTCCGGGTTGAGGGTGAGCAGGCCCTCCAGCAGCTTGTACTCCTGCTCCTGCAGCTCCCCTGACACGGTCTTCTTGATGTGCTCACGGAAGATGCAGGGCTTGGGCTTGAACTTGAGGTTCTTCATGCCCGGCAGCTGCAAATGGACGTGAGCGAGGGACGAAGAGGGAGGGTGGAAGGCGTCAGGAACGGGAAGAACAAGAAGAGGGGAAGGAGGGGGATGAAGAAGAGAAGGGGAGGTGGGTCTGGGGAGAGGAAGGGAGAGGAGAGGGGAACAGGGAGGAGAAAGGAAGGAGCCAACAACCCTGTCGAAAGTGGGCCAGGCATCCTTGGAAGGGGTTCCGAAGACATCGAAGATCTTCTGAATCTGTTCCGTCTGAACCTCCTCATCAGATCCCCTCCTCTCAATCCTCTTCACTCCTCCCTCACCTCGTTGTGCGGGCCGGAGACGGTGTGCGAGTCCTGCCAGATGTTCCTATAGTGGTTCGTTGTGTGCTTGAAGAGAAGCTCCGCAAAGATGCAGCCGACCGACCAGATGTCGGCAGGCGCCCCGTACTTCTCCGACTCCAGCAGGACCTCAGGAGGGCGGTACCATAAGGTGATGACCTTCTTGGTGAGGGGCACAGAAGGATCGTTGTAGGAGCGCGCGAGACCGAAGTCAGCGATCTTCAGTGAGCCTTCCTTGGTGATCAACAGGTTCGCTCCCTTGATGTCTCGATGCCTGCATGCACTTCATCCTCTGCTGCCACCACCACCACCACCACTTCCTCCTCCCCCCCCCCTTCTCTCCCCCACCCTGCCGTCTTCCTCGACCCACTCCCTAGGTCACGCCCCCTGCCTTCTGCTCCTCCCGCTCCTCGTTGGAGGGACTCACAGGATCTTCTGGGTGTGGAGGTAGTGGAGGCCCTCGAGCAGCTGCTTCAGGTAATGTTTCACGTGCTCCTTCTTGATCTCAATCTGCCATCCCCGCCTCCGCCTCAGACACGCCGGGCCAACAGGAGCAGCTCAGTCACCTTGGGACTCAACATCAGACCAGCCAGGTCGTGCTCCGCATACTCGAACACCTACGAGCAAGTAGATCAGCACAGCAGGAGGAGACTATCGAACAGTCTTGCCATGTAGACGCTCCCCTTCTGCTTGTTGTGGTCATGCGCCTTGGAAGTGACGATCTCTCTCAGCTGGACGATGTTGGGATGTTTCAAATTCCTGATGCAGAGTCAACCAGACAGCTCGAAAATTGAGGCGATCAACTTGAGGATCTTGATTTCTCTGATTGCTGTAATGGGGAATCCTTCTTTTTCATTGTCCATCTTGACTTTCTTCAACGCCACCATGCACTTCGTGCCTTCTCTCTCCCTCGCCAACCAAACCTGAACAAAATGAAATGATCAATCCTTTGACGTCTCAAAAATATAACCAATCGTCCAATCACATCCATCATTGTCATCATGGAATCATCATTATCATCGTCGTCTCTGGAGACTTTCACTGAGCAGATCAAGTTTACCTGTCCATATTGTCCTTCTCCAATCTGCTCAACTTTGATGAAACATTCAACACTTCTTGCCTGGATTGAAAAAGTAAAACTCTTCTGAAGTGCATCAAGCATCCTTCAACTGACCCCCCACTGTCTTGACAAGTATGGTGCAACTACTCCTGGCATTTGTCCGACATGAACATCTCCTGCACATGGATCAGGCTCTACATCAGCTCTTGTTGGCAGGACCTGCTGGTGCAGCTCCAGGCTGTGAAGAATTCGATGAGAAGCACGCATCAGTCGCCATGTACAGGAAGATCATCAGAGAGACTCACATGATCGTTCTGAGGTCGGTTGGCACTGAAAGCAACATTCCCATTGTTTGCATCATGTGCGTTGTGCATTCTGATATACTATGTCACAAAGGAGAAAACGTGTCCATTGATCATGATGGCCGTGTTCTCTAACAGCATCGGGATAGTTGCTCGAGAGACCGAGAGTTCTTGTCTCTGATCTCTTCATCCCATAGAGTCGTCAGGATTGAGACAGCTCTCTACAACAACCTCAACACGGGGGACATCGCACGTAGCTGGGAAGAAGATGAAACGAGAAGGCACAGGAAGCAGGCAGGGAGGGACAGGGAGGAGAAGTGAAACCACGGAAAGGAGACGAGGACGCAAGCGAAGAGGATGAAGAGCACAAAGGTCTAGAGGGCAGGGGAGAGCTGAGCCACGAACTCATTGAGGTGGGAAAGTAAGCAACTATCCTGCGAACGGGCCATAGATGAATCAAGAGGATCAAGTGTGGCTGACAAGGTCGGCGGATGAGGAGGAGGAGGAGGAGGAGGAGGAGGAGGAGGAAGCGAACAGATAAGGCCCACGAGCAGCAGGACGAGAGGAGCATGGGCAGGCTTGTGCACGGCGGCGGCAGCAGAGATTTCAACCGAATTGGTTTGATTGATCTTTGTTGAATTGAATTGATTTTATTCGGTTTTGGATCGTATCGAATTATTCGATTCAAATCAGCCACACAATTTCCCCGATCGAGTTTCCCGCCATGGCAGCCTCGTCGGCGACGTCGCTCATGGCGGCGGTTGCGGGAGAATTTCTCGAGGCAGCGATACCCACCATCCTGTATATACGAGGAGTTTATCCCGCCGAGCTCTTTGAGCGCAAGAGGTTGAAGGAGACAAGAAGATCGATGGAACATTGATGGTGTGCTTGCTGCAGGAAATACAATGTGCCGGTACGGCAAAGTAGACACAAGGATCTGAATGAATACATAGCCGGAGCCATCAAAGATATGATGGAATGGATGTCTAAAGGTAGTCGATGGTTTGGTCTTGCTCATATTGACAGTATGATGGTAGGTATTGTGGAAAGAGTTGTGCTCTCAATAGAGGAGGCTGCGAGCGGGAGACAACTGGAGAGGTGCGAACTTCTTGAGATCGGACATTTTCATAGTATGATTCTAATTACAGATTTGTGTTCGAATTTGAGCTTGATCTTACGGCAGACCGTGCAGCCCATGCTCGATCACTTGCCGCGCAAGCCCGCGAATCGTTAGAAGATGCTTTCCGACAAGTGTTGTTGAAAATCAACGTAGCAGATTCTCTCCTTGCTCCATTGCCCAAGGAGCTTACATTTGGTCTGTACGCACATACAGCATCTAGGCTCCATGACAACGACGATTGGGAGGTATAGAGAGTATTGCGAATTCATTTGCATCATTCATTTGCAGGAAATGGCATCGGAGGGGAACGATAGGGGACGGGCAGAGAAAGGGAATGAGAACATGTTAACCGTGCCTCTCAAGTCTGTACAGGCTGGTTGCTTCAGGCTGCAGCTGCTAGTGCAAAGTCCATCAAGTGGTTGAGAGGCCTCGTTTAGTGACTAGATAACTTGCGAAATAGCGACCGATATCATGTAACATAGAATTTATTGAAAGTCCCATGATTAGCTTCAGAACTCGCAAGAAGAATCATGATCCAGACAACATCTCTATGGCCGTCTCGATGTTCCCGTGCACAATGTTCAAGATCTCTAAAGCACGGTTCCGATCGAAGCCCATCATCTCCAATTGATCAGCTTGCTCCTCATACTGAGCAGCGCTGCTTGCCGTCGCTGGCCGACTGGAGCTCATCGCACCTGATCGAGCTGCGCCAATGCTCGTCCCAAACTCGGCACCTGCCATTTCTGTATCGCCGCTGGAAAGGTTCCTGCGAAGAAAATGATGAGATGAATGAAACGCAATTGCACAAGTTACTTGTCGTTATCGATCATGCGTAGAACATTCTGCCACGCTGGAGACTGCATGAATTCAGATGCTTTGTTCGAGTCTCTCTCCTTCACTGCCTCGCACAAAATCCGAAGGCCCTGAAGGAGAAGCTGAGGCGAAGAGAAACTGAGAAGTTCATACGTGTGACTCACCTCATCACTATGAGAAGAGAACAGTCCTGGGTGAGTGGCCAGGTACACAATGAGATGAAAGTCGGAGATGGTCTGCATGGACATCAGCGTGCGTCACTTCTATGGGAGATTACCTTGAGCTGCCCAGTGGGGCGGAAAGGCTTGTTGTCCGGGGAGTTCAGATGTGCTTTGAGCGCCTCAAGCGTCTGTGGAGCGTACATTCTGTTTTCTATTGGAAAATTTCTCTTGAAAAGCGGGTTGGCTTGTTGGGGAAATGTGGGGCCATTGACACTGACCTGAGAAGAAATCAACTGGGGTAAAGAGAGATGCGAATCGTAAGAAATCACCACAAGATAGTCGACAGGAAAATAAGGCTTGGCCTCATGCACCATCTTATTTCCAAACTCACTGACGTCTTGGTAGAATATCGCTGGAACATATCTGAAAAATCATCAAACAAGACATGCATGCAACGACGGCAAAAGATGCCTGTCGGGAGTTGATTGGGCTACACGACAAAGATTAGGCTTTGCGGTATATTCCAGAATTCCTTCAGCTCGCTCCAAATCCATGCCTTGTTGAGAAACCTTTGAAACCCCATATCAAAGAAGAGATGCAAGTGGATTCTAGCCACCTGATAAGCAACATAGTCCAGCTCGTTCTTCTCATTTCCAGTCACAACGACCTTGAGAGACATCAAAGCTGGGAAACAAAAAAACAACAATGGTACCGTTACAAATTTTGAACCAAATTCCAGGTCATCACATTCCAGACATTTGGACGGATTCATATTTTGAAGTCTGGCAGCTATAATACATTCGTTTGATCTTAAGAAGTAGGTGTCTTTTCCTCGAGAGCAGACGTATCTGTTAGCACATGATAAGTTCCACATTGTGTACAATCTTAATACAAACTTGTTGTGATCATCAGCCATCACTTCAAGATCGATGAAAATCCAGCCAACCTGTTCAAATGACAAAGTCAATTTTGCATCCATACATTACTTAGTCAAAATCAGTACTTTGACTAGTCCCAGCATGGCAGCAGTCGAATCGATCGCATCAGAATACGGATCCCTCAACATATTTACACCATCCGCTGCACATTCTTGGGGTGGCTCATAAATGGCCTTGACAACCGCCTTGATGCCTTAAAGAAGCAAGTCAATACCATGCTTTGCAGGTTGCAAATACCTAGAGGAACGTTTGTATCCACTTCATAGGTTCCATACAAATATCCATATCGCATGGCTCCAGTCTGCCTCCAAGCATCCAAGAACCTATAAATTAAGATTAATCTTTACGATGAGTTGGGATCGAATTCACTTGTCAAGAATCTGTGGATCTTCTATCTCCACTCGATCAACATGTCGATACTTTTGTCTATCCAGTGTCATCGGCTTGGGCAGTCTGCTCATGCTGACGGTCCTTTCACCCCAGCCCTTTTCAGTGCCTGTCTTTCCTCCAGCTTCACCGTAACTACCGAAATCATGACGCCTGGATCGTAATGTGACTCAATATTGAAGCTCAGCTGATTCATCTCACTTCAACTCTGAGAATTTTCCTCCACCAGAATGAGATTTAAGTTTCCTCAAATAAGCGTGAAACGACATCAATTTGACGTCCTTTTCCTGCAAATCCAGTATCAGACTAAATATGAAGGGTAGGAATCCTAATCTACCTTTAAAAGTCTCTCATCATATGGTTCAACAGCCATTGTATCGATGCTCTCATCACCAAAACTGATTTGCAAATCTCTGTCAGTGGTCTATAGATGTGCTGCTGTGACAAACAGACAGCAATCCGAACCTTCGTCTCGAGGTAGATTTTAGCTTTTCTCTTCCGTCCATCTTAGTCAATTCAAGATCAACTTGATCCAAGACAATGTCGGAACTGAGCAGTGAAATGTCAGCTTGTAAATCTCCAGGATCTGAATATTCAAAAATACATTTTCTTCTTATGTTCTCTTGGCACTGTATCCAGAATTTCCACCACCTTCTCTCCAGAAAGAGAATTTCCAACCATATGTGTCATTGCCTCCGGTTCATGGGGTACACTTGGAGGTGATTCTTCATGCTGAGCAAAAATTCTGTCTCCATGTTGAATTCGCAAAGAAGACAAAGTTGCCTCTGCCGGGCCAAGATAGTCTAATAAAGAGTCAGAACGAGAAACACAACTTCTCAAAAAACCAGAATCGGATGACAACATCACACTTGATAAAGATGCAAGTACAATCAATCACCTTTGTGTGAAGGGTCTCTGCTCAGCTTGAACTGTTTGATCGTAGGGAGTTGTTGCTGGAGCTTTGCTGCAAGCGCCTCAAGGGTTTCAGAAGGATCTACTTCGACTCGAGCCTGGCCTTCCCTTGTTTGAATGCGGACTATCATCCTATTTCCCATCAAAATCACACAATGAGACACTATGAGCACGTGTTGGCAGGCATGTTACCTGACAAGGTTCACCACTTCACAACTATCGGTACAGCTGGTCGATGCTTCGATTATGCGACGCTAGTAAACTCCACGGCTCTACGTATGCTGCGTTCATGTCAATACAGAGAAATGTTCCATGTGCTTCCATCGCTTTCCACTTCCAGAATGAAGCAAAGAGCTACGCCAACAAAGTAGGGAACATCTGCCCTCTACCTTTGAGTCGGTCAACCCTTCGCTTATTGATCATGAACAAGATGACTGTCTTCAACGAACTGACTCCCTGTGAACACACTTATCCTCTCACTCTCATCGTCTCTCTTCTCTCCTCCCCCTTCTCCGCTGCCCCCCTCCTCCTGTCCTGAGACTATCCATGCCAGTTTCTAGACAGCCTGTCCCGATGGATAACGGTTCATGTAACCGTTTCAACTCATTTGACTGACTCTGAAAGGCCCGGGGCCGGGCCCGCCGGACAAAAGAGACTGAGCCCCGGACACTCCGACTGAGGAACTCGGAAACCTGGTCAGTTGGAGGAGGGGGTAGAGTCATTTACTCGAAGTTAAGAGAGATCCAAACCCTCATCCTGCCGACTGCTGTATCATGCCTAAACTTAACTTTACACCTTGCCTTGGTTTCTTCTCTTCATTCTCTCCGACAGCTCTCACTGCAGTCCATAGGTCCTCTCTGGCAGAGTCGATCGCGTCAGAGCCGTTGAGGAGCTACTTCCTCGAGGTCTCCTCTGGTCGTCTCCCCGTGTTGGCCGTGTGTGGCTGGTACCATCAAGTGACTGCACGAGAGCGAGCCCGTCCTCATGCCGAGATGCTCAGGACACCGTGGCTCCAAAGCGGGCGCGTCGATGCTGCATGAATCGTCAACCAGAAAGGAGAAATCTCCTCCTGCTCCCCGGCATGCGTGTCCTGAGGGCATCACCATCGTGACGGCCGCCATGGACTTGCCGAGCGAGTGGGCGTCGCCTCAAAGGCAAGGGTCACACTATGCTGCCGGCATCAGCCAGCTCCTCTCGTTGCGCTGCCCCACCGTCGCCTTGGTAGACTCACAGGTGAAGCAGCAGGTGATGCTGGAGGAGACCGACGTCCTGCTCACGCCGACTCTAGAGAAACAAGACCTCAGCAACCTCGCCTTCTTCCATAGAATGCGCAGCATGCGAACTGAGACCTGGAAATCTGAGGGATGGAAGGTGTTGCCAGAGTCCGCCGATTACCTGGCGCTTGTGTTGCTCAAATTCCCACTTGCTTGGCCCGGGCTGCGTAGATGTCCATGCGCTCTCCACCTCTTGGATCCACGAGCGCGTAGGCGACAACAAGGTCCTCGTGTCCGTCTACCGGGCGAAGCAGAGGTTCTGCTGGGACCCGAGTGTGAGCGAGCTGGGAGGGCTGCCCTGTAAAGAGCTTCCGCAGTTCACGGGCAAGGGGTCGTTCTTTGCGATGAGGAGGAGAGAGGCTCTGTAGCTGGAGGGGGAGTACAAGTGGGTGGTGGAGTAGATAATCTCCAAGGGCTTCCTCTTGCCCGAAGAGTTCTACCTCTCCATAGTCCCCAAGAGACCCGGAGTGATTCTACACCTTCGACCGATCAGATAACGGCATGGGCCATGATTTGGAATGTATTCGCATCTGCATGATGGCAAGTGACGATCCATGTCTTTGCATGAAGTTTCCCAGCTACAACTCCAGCATCCCCGCCGATCAGGGGATTCTCAGGTGGGAGGTCGACCGACCGCACGAGGGCATGCTCTCATTGTCGGGATCCGAGCTCTGCAGTCCTCTCCAGATATTGGAGAGGAGCAGGAATGGACGGGGTTGGAGTACATCACTGCTACACACATGCGGTTTCAAGTCCGCAGGAGGACCAAGAGATTGTTGACTTGAACAAGGCGACAGACTCTAGAGGGCACATCTACGAGGCCTGACACTCCCTCTTGGACAGCATGACAGAGGGCCCGTGCGTCGCTTTAGTAACGGAGAATTTGACCGCATCTGAGAGGCGACTGACCGAGCCGACAATCGCGGACATGAGGCTCTACTGCACCGACAAGGTTCTCGCCGCCATGCCACTGTTGCTCCTCTGACTTGCAGGCAGGTCTACGAGACCAGCTGGTTGGCTTACGGTCACTCCCACTCTCAAGGTCCTTCCGTATTAATTCTCATCCTCGGCAGAGCAAGTCGGGACTGCTAGCAGCTCATCCAAGACCCCTGCTGGTTCATCTAGATGCGTTGAAGGTTCGCATGGACATGCAGGAGCAGGTGAAGAGCAAGAGCACGAGGATACGCTTGTCACTTCATCCGGCAGGCGCTAGAGTTTCTGTTCGAGAGTATCTGGAAGATGGTGGGCTCTTGTTAGGTGATGTATGGGATCGTCCAGGTGCAGCTGAGGACAACAGCAGGTGCTGGTTACATGCCCGACAGATACTTCGATCCTTGCTTGCAGACGACTGTGCGGTGAGGATGTGAGAACGAGCGAACAAGCATCTGATGGCAAGCACGTCAATGTCACCAGTACGAGAAGCTCTCAAGAACTCCTGCAAGAAGCGTGATAGGAAGATCGGTGTCACTCTTGAATATTCCTTTCCATCCTGGTACATCGTGAAGACCGCCAAACTTCCCTAAGGTCTTGATGCTTTATTTAAGTTTTCTTGTTTGTGCCTTACACTACCCCAGCTGCTGACGAGTCAGCTCCTGCAGACATGGATTAGGATGAACATTCATGAGAAAGTTTCTAATCACCATGGACAATGTCCTCCACGTTAGCATCATCGCTTTTAAATTGTTTCTGAATCGACTCCACCATCGCATCCGCTTTCATCCTTGCAATAATGTCCTTCACCTGCAACAAATGAGGGATGAGTCCCCGAGCAGAGAGAAGAAGAGGGGTAACACAGACCTTCTTTCTATCCTTGGGATTGTTCGCCAACTTCTTAGGCAGCCCATGCGCTTCAGCCCACTTCACCAGCTTGGCGAACTTGGACACCTTGTCGCTGGCAGTGGGCTTGTCTGAAGTTCCATGAGACTCACAACATCAAGTTGAAGAATCAACGAGTACCTGCTGCATGGCTGGCGGTAGCGTGGTGAACAACCTTCTTGATGGCATGCTGCTTCTCCTTGCTCGCTTGAGCATGGTGCGCAACAACCTTGTGAGGATGAGGAGCTGCAGCTTTGTGAGAGAGAGCGGCGTGCGGGTGCTTGGAGGACTGAAGAGAATCAGTGTGCATGTCAAGCAGCCTCTTCATCGCCATCATCCGCTGGTGATACGTGAGGTGATTGTTGGCAACGATCTTGGCAACTTTTGAAACCACTTTCTTCCCAGAAGCATGCTCGCTTCCCTTAGCCAACAAGCTCTGAACAGTCTTTTCCTTCTCAGATCGTGATGCATGCTTGAATTTGGAGTCCTTCAAGATCTTGTTGGCTATGGAGACAGAGTCTGTCAAGAGCTCGTCGGGCTTCTCCTCAGTCAAGTTCAGCTGTCTCGGCGCATAGTATGCAACGGCTACGAAAAGAATGACACTGCAAGCTATCCCCGCAACCTGCATGCTAGGGTGGGATCGCTTCTTGATCGTCCCCTGGCAAGAAGATGTCAGAACACACGACGTTGAGTCGTTAGGAAGAAATTTGAAGCAAAATGCAATCAAATAAGACTTGCTTTCAGCTTGCAAATGCAAATTTGAGGAAGACAAAGCAAGTGCGCTTTTCACCAGACTCAAATGTAATTTTTCTGTCACATTCCTGATCCAATCCATTTGACATCGCTATTCAACTTACTGCTCGATTCGATCAAGAGACGTCATCCAAGAAATACAGTTGAAGTTTCATCATGGTCTACAAACTTGTTCCCACTTCTCACTAATTTTATCCCTGCACATATCCTCGTCGTCCTTCTGATCGCAACCCTCATGCTAGTATCCGCCTTCCACTTTCCCTCTCTTCCACCTCTTCCTCCTAAAGCGCCAGCATCCCCAGCATCAGGAGCATCGCCAGCATCGGCAGCATCAGGAGCATCAGGAGCATCGGCAGCATCGGCAGCATCGGCAGCATCGGCAGCATCGGCAGCATCGGCAGCATCGGCAGCATCGGCAGCATCGGCAGCATCGGCATCGGCATCGGCATCGGCATCGGCATCGGCATCGGCATCGGCATCGGCATCGGCATCGGCATCGGCATCGGCATCGGCATCGGCATCGGCATCGGCATCGGCATCGGCATCGGCATCAGCAGCATCGCCTCCTCCTCCTCCTCCTTCCCTCAGTCTTACCGCGTACGACACCATCGCGCCTCCTCGTCAGCGACTTTTCGACGTATTTTACAACCGTTTTGTAACGTATAAACCAGAACATAACTGAATATGTAACGGAAGAAACGGACACCTCGAATCCGGGAGAGCCAAGGAAGTGTGAGGGGGGGGAGGCAAGTGGGGTGGGGTGATGAAGAGGAGGGTCTACAGACAACAGGGGGGTCACAAGTAGGTAGGGGTACCTGGTGTTTATCCTGGAGATAGGGTGATAGTGAGAGTAATGGGGGGTGCGAATTTAGCAGTGAGGGGTCCATTCTTTAGATCGGGGGGTGGTAGACGGATTTGAGAAGGGGTAGGTGATGGTGGGAGCAGGAGGGGGTGGGTGGGTGAGGGTGGTGGCGGGAGGAGGGCGCGAGATGACGGAGAGCGTGGTGGCGGGATGGCTCGGGGAGCTGGGGCTGGGGAACCTGATCCAGGTCTTCGAGGAGGAGGGCATCGACTCCGAAGCTCTTGCCGCCCTCAACGAGGCTCAGCTGAAGCAGCTCGGCGTCACGCGCATGGGGGACCGGACCAAGGTGAGAGCCGAGGCCATGATGAGCAAGTGGGACGAGAGCTGTCGGGCTTGCAGAGGGATTGAGATTGAGATGAAGTACAGGGTGAGATTATGTTGGCAGAGATATCTGGAGAGACAGGAGCAGGAATAGATACGTGAACAGTGGTGGATGTGGAGTCATAGGCAGATATCGAATACCAAGCAGCGATGAGCAGCGAACACTTCAGGTTTGACATAGAGGGCAAGAGCGACTTGTTACTTGATTGTCTCACTGCTAATCTTTGCTGGGATCAAGAGTTATAATGTAGTACAGATTGTATAGAGTCACATCAAGAAGAGCATGCATGTTGTTGACATCATTGAAGCCGACAGCTCACCAGTCCCTGAGCTATACGTAGAGCCTCTTCTGCTCCTTAACGTTCTGCATCGAGAAGGAAAGCAGCTTATTGACTTTATCCTCTAGCTACAGGCGAAGGCGCTTGGTCATGTCCTGCCAGCCTCTACAAACCCTCTCTACGTCCAGTCGGCACAACCACAACATGCGCCGTCGAGCAGTCATGATAAGGAAGTTCCCGAGCATATCCAGATCTTACAGCGACTGTCCAACGCCACTGCGGTACTCACAAACCTCTCGGACATTGCTAACATCTGACGCCTCCCCGATCAGAAGAGCTCCTCAAGGAAAAGCGCTGTCGAGGACGTAGCTGAAAAAATCAGGGCCACCAACTTCGTTCTGAAAGGTTGGAGTCGCCTGCCCCTTGGAAGCCGATCCTAGGATGCTCATCCTACCGTGCAGGAGGCTATCTGGAGAAGTACACGAACGGTGGCCGAGGTAAACCGCACAGAAAGTTCTTCAAGATGCTACCGTACTGCTGTCAGCTTTTTGTGGAACCTACGTTAACATTTTCTGCAGTGAGAAGAAGTTGAGCTACGATGGGAAGACTGTCGGGCCTGTGATGCTTTCAGCTCATGTTCTTGTGCTAAAGATGATGACACTTACAGGTTCTATCCGTGCTTCCTGGATGTGGCGCTGTGGTCGAAGAGTACCATCACGTCTCCTCGGACGTTGCTGAACGATCTTTCCGTAAGGCCGGCGATCGTCCTTGACCCCTTCTCACCGCATTCCACTTGTCAGGAGTGGTATGTGAGGGAGGGATAAGTCTTCTGTTGATCGCTCCGTCAAAGGAGGAGCGAAAGATTTGGATGGAGGTACAGCGGGCAGCTGATCTGAAAATCACTGAAGAAAGGCTGTGCAGGGAATTGACATCATGCTCATCGGCGGCTACAAGCGCAGGAGTGCGCAAAACGATGACGTGTCAGAAGTTGCAGCTCGCATTCCTCAAGCGAACATCGGCCTCAAGAGCGAAACCAGTCCTGCAAAGCACGCGACGGTGAGATGACTTGTGGAGGGATCATTCGTTTGCATCACGGGCTGATTCGACCTCTAAAGGCTCAGGATGATCATGAAGTAAAAAGACGCAGCGTAAGTTCTCTTGATCTCTCTCTCGATCTTGTTCTTGACGTTCCTGAAGGCTTCACCTCCCAACCGTTCAAGTGTGGATCCTATGCTGCCAATGCGCAAGGCGCGACCATCAAGTGTACATGTCAAGAGCCCACCGATGAAACCCAAGGAGGACGTTCACGTCAGGTCAGACTTGGGAGTGACGAGAAAGCTCGAGGAACGAAGACAAAACTTCGAGCCTACTCAAGATCGAGAGAAAATGACAAAGGAGTCACCGAAAGGTTTCAATCCGACGACCAGACTGAGTGCGCAGCAAGATAAGGAGAATGGCTCGCACAGGGGTGAAATCGTTCCGCTGAAGCCCCAGCAAGCACCTGAAATATCAAGCGGACACGAACGACGGCAGAGCGATGCACGATCATCCACATTGCCGACCGTGCAGGCGGTGGAAGAGCGAAGAGCAGAGGACACAATCCAACAATGGGGGGCTGACGCTGAAGGATCCTCGCATGACATTGCGCTGCGTGACGACATGGACAAGGCTCGCGAAGTATCCGCAGTGACTACTGAAAGGCCTGCGAGCCTGAGAGTCGGCAATGAGGACACAAGGTCGGGAGTGCTTCGAAAGAAGGAATCGTTTGAGCTCAGGGCCGAGGTGAAGTCAGAGATCCTGACAAACGACAAGGAAGAAGAAACGATGAGCAAGATGGAGGAGAAGCCCGACCTTCCAAGTCAAGACTCAGAGAATGCCACCAAACCAGACGTCCCGCCATCAGTTTCGTCACAGGTGCCGCGAGCTGTTTGAAGAATTGCCTAGTTTGATTCTGTCTTTGCAGAGGAGATCAGTTCTCGACATGGTTGGGCAGATCAATCAAATGGCAAATAGCGCTGACGCTGCGAACATGATTCGGTAATGTTTCTCGGCACCAGCTTGGTCATGAGCTAACTTGTATTGGAGGTGGAAGCATGTAGATAGCGTTCTCAAGACACAAGGAAACCAGATCAAGAAGACGCGAGCAGAACCTGAATTCGGAGTAGCCCTGATCGATGCTTCTCTACAAGCCGGCCGATTTGGTGCTTCCGCTAGCCTAGTTCTGCGCACGACTGAGTGCGTGCATGACAGAGTGGGAGGTCGAGTTTGCCAAAACGAATAGCATCCACTGGTGTGGAGTCGGAGTTGCTCTTCCTGATGTCAAGACTGGCAGGAGTCTCCGACGAGAAGAAGCAAGAGGAAGCGCCTGGTGATGCTGCTGTGTCCCTGCTGGTCACGGTGACGACAGCCGCAGGTTCTATCATTCCAAGGGATTCTTGTGCGATGGAGACGTGTTGGTGGGAGATTGGGAGAAGCTTCCTCCCTTCGGCGCTGGCGACAAGTCAATCTCTTCTCTTCCTCCTCAACCTCTCACGCGCTGCTGCAGGATAACCATCCGTTTGGATGCGGACGCGGGAACTCTTGAGTTCTCTTGTAACGGCAAGTGGATCTCCGAGAGACTGGAAGGCGTCAAGAAGAACGTGAGGCGAGGGCGATGATGGCGGGAGCATGACCCCCTTGCGCAGGTTGTTCCGGTGGTGTACACAGATGGGACAGCGTCTCTCACGCTTGCAAAACCTCCAACTCAACTTTGATATGAATAGGAAACAATCAATAGAAACAATCGACTCAGAAACTTGGAATACTTATCAGCTTCTAGCTCGTTATTGTTCTGCTTCTACCTTGGCTTGTTTCCCACCCGCATCTCGAAGCTCTCAAACGTCACTGTCTTGGTTGAGGATCTTTCCAACATCGCTCAATTCTTTAAGTGCCTGAGCGATCGAATGATTTTGGCTTTGGAGCGTTTCGATGCAAGGATTCTGTTGGAAATCCATGAAGATCAGCAGTCCTCCTCCTCTTCCTGAAGTTGAGCTCACCAGCCTTTTGCTTGTCGCGTCAAGCTTCAGCTTTCCGTGTTCGCACACTTGCTCCACCTGGTGTCTGATCCTCTCGTGCACGAAGCTTCGATCGACTTCTAGCAGCTCAGATGCCACCCTGAGGATCAGTCATCGACATCCGGCACTCCCCGCACCTCACCGGCTGCTGAAGAATTCAGTTTCCACCCTCTTCATTCGATCGTCGATCTGATCCAGCGACTCTCTAAGAGCGCTCTTCTTGACGACCGGCTTCCCCTGGAAACAACCGACACGTCAAAGGCCTCACGCGCAAGGTACTGAGCGAACCGCGTCAGCCATGGAGGCTTTGGGCTGATCGAAAGTTTGTCTGGTATCGAAGAAAGAGGATGGCATCCTGAAGGACTCCAGCGAGCGGCGCTGAATTTCATCCACAGCATGTCTAGCACTGTGAAGCACATGATTAAGAGAAGCATCAGCTGAGGCGAGCATGTACTATTCTCTCTTGGGGCTGGGAGGGAGGAAGTTGGACATGCCGATCGCTCCCTCCTGACGGCGCTCACGTGTTCACTGATGGAGTGTCGTTAGCCCCGTCATGGCACCTGCTGTAGCCGCTCAGTCACAAGTCACCCGCTCCTCCCCCTCGGCCCCACACATGAGCACCTTCTCGCTTCTTGAATAGAGCACGTGGGATTGAGTCGCGAGTCTGCAGCTACTCCAGTGAGGCTTAGCAGGCAAGTCGTGACACACGTCAGAGGGATGTTGACAAGGGAGCAAATGGCTGGGTGTTCGTCGCACAAGAAGGTTGAAGGATGGAATTGTGTTGGTGGAGTTGAAAGCTGGAGGGGCTGCGGGAGAGAAGGAGAGCGAGCGAGAGCGACAGCAGCAGGAGCAGCAGGTACACCCGAGCAAGTGCAATGGTGGCAGGAAGAGCAGGAGGAGCATGCACGAGAAGCAGAGGCAGGAGGAGCTGGTGGATTAGGAGCAGCAGAAGCAGGAGCAGGAGCAGCAGGTGTACGAGCAGGAGCAGCAGGAGAACGAGGTGCAGGACTCCGCCGGGGACTGGAGGAGATGCCGCAGCAGCAGGAGTAGGAGCAGGAGTAGGCAGAGCAGCAGGAGATGCAGGAGGAGTCGGAGGAGCAGGAGTAGGCGGAGTAGGCGGAGGCGGAGGAGTAGGAGTAGGCGGAGGAGTAGGAGGAGCAGGAGTAGGCGGAGTAGGCGGAGGAGCAGGAGTAGGCGGAGGAGCAGGAGTAGGCGGAGGAGTAGGCGGAGGAGTAGGCGGAGGAGCCTTCAGTAGGCGGAGGAGCAGGAGTAGGCGGAGGAGTAGGAGTAGGAGGAGCAGGAGTAGAAGTAGGGGAGGAGTAGAAGGACTCGGGAGCAGGAGTAGAACGGTAGGCGGAGAAGTAGGAGGAGTAGGAGTAGGAGTAGGCGGAGCAGGGGTAGGAGGATGAGGAGGATACGGTAGGAGTAGGCGGCAAGGAGCAGGAGGAGCAGGAGGTAATGGTAGGAGTAGGCGGCAAGGAGCAGGAGGAGACGGTAGAAGTAGACGGAGGAGTAGGCGGAGCAGGAGGAGCAGGATCAGGAGGCCCAAGGAGGAGTGGCGGAGGAACAGGCGGAGCAGGCGGATACGGTAGGCGTAGGGGGAGGAGCAGGAGGAGCAGGAGGAGCAGGAGGAGCAGGAGCAGGAGGATACGGTAGGCGTAGGGGGAGGAGCAGGAGGATACGGTAGGCGTAGGGGGAGGAGCAGGAGGAGCAGGAGGAGCAGGAGGATACGGTAGGCGTAGGGGGAGGAGCAGGAGGAGCAGGAGGAGCAGGAGGAGCAGGAGGATACGGTAGGCGTAGGGGGAGGAGCAGGAGGAGCAGGAGGGTGCGACTGGGAGGAACAAGTTTCACTCCTCCCTTGTCCTCCCTGGGGCAACGCATGGGGGCAACGGCCCTCCACAGGTGCTGTACTACTGGAATATATAATATTACTTAATTTTTCTAAAAAAGAATTTATACGTCCTCCTATGCCAATGATTTATTTTATATAACTAATTATGGATACAGATAATTGTATTGATATTAATGAATTTATATTTTATATGTTTCTGTCAGTACAACTTCTGGTACAAGAACGTATATCTCTTGACTCTAATAATTAATTATAGAACGCACTTATTAGTTTTGGGCTTGACCCGGTACACATTTGGAGCGCTATGAACTATTTCACAGTGACCCTGCATCCTAGATTTCAAATAATCCAAAAGAATTTGAAATTTCCTGAGATTTTGGAGCTGTGCAAGTCGAGGTGGCAAGGGGCAAGGGGAGGAAATGCACATGGGAATGAGGATGGCGAGCAGGAGGAGAGGTGATGAGCAAGGAACGAGGAGGTGAAGACAAGGGCAGACAAGAGCAGCAAGCATAGGAAATCGAGAAGAGAAGAGATTATTCCGAGGTCCAGCTGGAAATAAAGCAAAGGTAGTGTGAAGCTGATACGGTCAAGCTCTGGCAGCCCTGTCAGGACCATGCTTGAGGAATCTTTTCAGAATCGCAAGAAGAATGAGATGTCTTTAAGTAGGCATAAATGCCTTGATGTCCATACCAGCACCCTTGCAGGAATTGAACACGCCGGGCAGCCTGACCAGAACCGTATTGATGTCAATAGATGCGCATTGTGTTTACTGTACTGTTGCTGGCTTAACCTTGCTATCGCGTTAAGGGAGATAACCCGCGACAAATCTTCTAACTGCATACATCTAAAATAGCTTGCGATGACACTGTGCAATTTGCTTGCTTGTGAATTGCCATAATGCTGTTGAGGATTTTTGTACGGCGGTTAGAAACTTCAAGTGATTGAATCTGGTTTGCAGAGACTGTACTCACCCTGCTGGAATGGCAAAGCAAAGATACCGTACAGATGGAAGGTGGGGGTGATCCGGTGGCGGATGGTGAGGTCTCACTGCACCTTCAGTGGACACTACACGACGGCAGGGGCGATGGCTAGCAGCAAAGAAGAATTCTCGGGAAATTTCTACATGAAGTTCCTGGCTTTCGTTGCATTGGCTTTGTGCGTGGTGGGGATGGCGTTCGTGGTGATGAATCACTGGCTTGCGGTGAGATTTGACCCCGAAGATGTAACAAGCTCACTCCTGTGCAGACATTGCCCTCCAAGGAGCCTCCACCGATGATGCCCGGACAGCCCATGCAATCCAAGGCTCGCATGCCTGGAGACTTTCCAACCAATTTCATGTTAGGAGGAGCTGGGAACACTGTCTTCAAAGGGTTGACACGTGTTCATCACTACCATGTCAACAAGTGAAAACTTAAGTTCAAAGCTCTCCTGCTTGAACGATCCAGCTGCTAGCTTGACAGTGGGGCACAGACGTTATCTTCTTCATGTGAACTTTACTCTTAAGTGTCATTCGCTATCGCGAAGTTGTAGACTATGGAATTCCTCCCATACGAAGGCATGATTACTGCTTATTCGGATCCTATTGCTAATTCGTATCATTATTGCTTTACAATAAATCGAGAAAATTCTGACGAGAAAATCATGAAAATTGTTTGCATGCAGATCAATTTAAGTTTGCAACAGATTTGAAAGAAAGTCGTAGAAAGGTACGTTCTGAGCATCGTCTGAATTCCAGAAAAGTAAGAGGTTTTAAACTAGGGTGGCGAGATGTCAAGGAAAGCAAGAGTACCGCACTGGATGAAGCAAGCAAGGCCAACACAACTCAACAAGAACAGATAGACATAGCTTTGAAAATCAGAATCATTCAGGAACAAGGGAGCAAGCGAAGCCTGCGCTCTCAAGCATCTGCCGTGCTCTTCTTGCATTCACTTCCGGGAGCGTTGCTAAAGTTCCTTTGCCGTAGTGATGAGTTTGGTATGCTATCCACCTCACCCTTGCTTTTCGCACAAATCCAGGAAATGGACCAACATGCTCTTGTTTCAAAATTTCTTCAATCACGTCCATAGCATATTCCATGGTGTGTTGATCATCATCGTGCAAGAGCACTCTCCAGAACTGACCATTGAAGCCCTGATCCCTCTGCCAATGCAAATGTTCTAGTGCCCTGTCCCATTCCATAGAATTGTGAATTTTCTGAGGCACAGGATTAGCACATTTCGAGGAGGGCGAGCGTGTAGGAACGAGACTTGCCAGATACTGACCCTCGATGGTGATGCCAGGAGCAAACCCTAACTGGTTGAATTCTGATGATGAATCCATGAGAGTTTTTAGGTACGCAAATATACAGTAGAAGAGGAGGCTAGAGCGTTTCATCCTGATCAGTTGTTGGGATGCACAATCAACTATCTCATGGTTCAAAAAATGTTGCTATGAGCTGACAGTTTTGTATCTTCGAAGTCAAGTGCACAACCCAAAATCTCATGCAAGCCACGTTTCTGATTCTGATCTGTACCCACAAAGTGAGATACCACGCTGGATTTGAGTATGCCTGTGTGTATCTGCCCGTGATGCCTCTCTCAAACTGTTTTGATCTTGACTGCTTCTGCCTGTCTGTGAGGGTCTTTCTTCGAGCGTGTTGGCTTTTTTGGGCTGCTCTTTTGCCGCTATCTGAACATTCGGTCACTCTCGAAGCAAGTTCAATATCTTGATCGCTATATTTTATCCGTGACACTCTCCACTTTACCGGCACTCTACTAGCCCCGCTATTTTCCCTCCATTTGGTGGCATCGCACCATCCTACTTTCACCAATCCCCCGTCACTAACTTTGTGCGTCACGATGACACGTTGGAACACACCAAGAAAATTTCTGCTTCTGCTCAATCCATCTCTGCACTCAGATTCTTACTTTCATCCTCGTCGCAATTGCCTCCCAGCCCCTACCAACCCCCCCAATTTTCCATCGAATGCCCCCATCCCTGACAAACACTAATCCTGTTCGATTCAACCAAAGTTGCCTTGTCCTCGCTTCCTTCTGACCCTTGTTTACATCCACCTTCCTATCTTTGATGAGGCACTCGTCACTCATACACTCTATGCAACATCTGAGTTGTGCTTTCTTGTGCATTCTTCCTTCTTTCTCCCTGCTCGCCTTCACTTTACGCGCCTTCGTTGCATGCTCCTCACCTTCCGCCTCCTGCCCCTTGACTACCCCACCCCTCATATCTCAACTCCGATCGCATTGTTAACATCACCCCTGTTCATGATTACCCTCACTTGTATCTCTGTACCCATACAAATATCGACGAAAGTACCCCTATTTGGTGGTCATTTGAATACCCTCACCCCCTGTACCTCACTCTAGACTTCCTCCTCATCCGACCTTGGTTGCATGGACCACTTTCTACCCCACCCCTCCATTTTCCTGTACCCCACCCTATCATTCGCTACAAACGTATTTCACCCTACCCCACTTTCGAAGGACCATTGTTCCTATACCGTACCTTGGAAATCTAGCCTCGGTATCGACATTCTATGGGCTCTAGAGGATCAATTCATCAAGTTTTATCTTAGTAAATTTCACAGTATAGGATACCCCATGCATTCCTCATCTCAAACTTTGACCTGGTACCCTACAAATTTCATATCACCCACCACAATTCCATCCCGAACCCGTACATCGGTCACATTTACTTCGATCACCCCTACTTTCATCTGCAATCACCCCCACCATTTCTGGGTGTACAGATTCATATCCACACCCATCTCAACCCCAAACAGTGACACACCCACCTCTTTTCATTAGTACCCCATATATTCATTATCATTATCCCCCTTTGTCATACTACCGGTCATTGATTTCTTGCTACCTACCCCGACATTGGCTACTATAACGCCCCTTGCTGCCACAAAAACGTTTTAAGTATAAATGTTTATGATTTTTTGAAGCTCAAGGGATGCGAGATTGATCGAGATCACAACGTATCGACATAAAAAGTTTTTAGATTTAAGAACACACCCATCGAGCAGCATGAAGGGGGTGGATGAAGGTGAGGGGATGAGGGCAGGGATGAGGGTATGAGGGCAGTATGAGGGGCCACACGGGGATGCATGATGGGGATGAGGGCTACATGCGGATGCGTGGGGATGAGGGCTGCACACAGGCTGCATGGTGGGGATGAGGGCTATATGGGGATGAGGGGGGATAAAAGTGTCAGGGCGGATGGCGACGACATGGCAAGGAGATCGGGCTCGGCTGCGAAGGTGATGGAGGATGAGCTGGAGGGAGAGGGGGGGGGAGGGGAGGAGGAGGAAGATAATGAATGAGAAGAACAAGGGGAATGATGATGAGAGAGGAGAAGGCAGAGGATTGGAGGCTGAGAAGATCAGGTGACGAACTCGAGAGGTGGGTAGAGAGAAAGAGTGACTGATCCTCAAGTCAGAGAGAGGGTTTAGTGTTCCATGATTTTCAGGAGAAGATCAGAAGGAAATAGTAGAATCTTCATGAACTATAAGTTTCTTTCGTTTCTCAACACAACCTCGCTCCAGATGGATGGTAAAGGTGGGAGACAGCGTGCATGAAGGGAAGGTAAGGCGAGTGGAGTGCAATGATAGCTTGCTCATCCATCATCGTGTGGGTCTCGTTCCTCAAGGCCATTGCTCGGATAGAAAGTCTCTCCAAGTCAGGGCATGAGGAGCTCCGAGCGTCTCGTGCCGGGCTGGTGACGTCGGATTGAGATATGTGTCTCCATGCTGAGAAATGTGTGGTAGGTTCGTAGGCTGCTGGTGGAGGAGGGCGATGAGCTGAGCGAGGGGCAACAAGTCTGCGTCATCCAACAATGCCCGCATGATGACACCTTCCAAGGTCCTCTCTTCCTCCTCCTGTCACGTGGAAACTGACGAGTGCACGCAGGGATCTGCACCCTCTGTGGAGCAGATGTAGAAGAATCGGGAGGCCATGCTACTGCTGCTGCTCCGGCTCAGCTGGACAGAGAGACGCATGTCGCATCTTCAAGACTAGACAAGCCGCAAAGCTTCGGCATGTTCGGGGTGTGGTGCATCCGGCCCTGCGCTCTTCTCCTGCAAGCATCAAGCGGCAGCAGATGCAACGGGTGGAAGAACTGCTGCGATCCAGGAAGCTGGTCAGGGAGGGAGGGAGGGTGGGTGGGTGGGAGAGGATCTTGGTCGTCACTAATGTTCAGGCTCTGGTGCTCGACCTCGACCACACCTTGCTTCACACGACCCTGCCAAGAACAGAAATGGAGGAGATGGTCAGGAGAGAGCCTGCCAATGAGGCTGATCCTGATGCTTGTTGCAATTCAGATCATGCAAACGCTCCATGAACAGTGCAAGGACGTTCACGTCCTCCAAGTCTCGGCTGCGAGATATTACACCAAATTGCGCCCTGGGGTGAGGCAGCGCCTGTGCTTGCCTGACTGACGTTCTCCTTCTCTTGCCAATGTTTCATGTGAAGATCCGCAACTTCCTGTCCGAGATGTCTAGACTCTTTGAGCTGTACATATACACAGCAGGCATGGGGTCCCAGCAAGTGAGATCAGACATGTAATCTCATCCCAGGTGATCGCAAGTACGCGGAAGCTGTCGCGCACATGCTGGACGAGAGCGGCCGCATGTTCCGGGGGCGAATCATATCTCGAGACGACTACACGGATGTCTCTCTGGAGCACAAGAAGCTTGACAAGGTGCGAACCCTCGATGGTGACGAGGAGGAAGTTGAGGTGGGGCAGGTTTTCCCCATCGACGAGCATCGAGCGCTTGTCATCATCCTCGACGACAACGCGGAGACTTGGGACCATCAGTACAGCGACGGGCGAAACTCGCAAGAGAATCTCATCCAAGTGGACAAGTATCCACGAGCTGGACTCGTGCTGAGCCTCAGCTGACGTGATCTACTCTGTCTAGGTACTCGTTCTGGCCGCGGGACCTCGGAGAAGGGCACAACCCTGTGGCAGCGAGGGAGTGGCAGGGGGCAGAGTCAAGCAGCTTTTCGTGGAGCCTGAATGAGGCTCAGAAGCAGGAGGAAGCGCGGGAGCAGAGTGATGGTTCTGCTGCAAGCGAAGGAATGAAGGAGGTGGAGAAGGCCCCAGGTCAAGATCAAGCTTGTCAGGGTGCGGAGGAGAGAGGAGTCGCTCCGGAAGACGCAAGTGAAGATGCAAAGGAGACTAAAAGAGGAATGGAGCAAAAAGGAGGCAAGGGCGACGAGGAGGTCAAAGAGGCCAAGGAAAGAGCAAAGGACGAAGATGAAGCAAAGAAGGACGAGGGTGAAGGAGATGAAGTAGCGAAAGAGAACGACGGGGAACAAGAGCTGAAGCAAGGTCAAGAAGTTCCTGAGGGGACATTGATCGAGGACGAGCCAGTCACAGACAGCAAGCTGAAAGCTCTTCTCGCCGAGCTGCTGGCTCAGGACCGACTGGACGATTACATCCCCCGCCTTGCTCAGATTCTCTCGCAGCTTCACGCTTCGTTTTTCAAGCGACTCCTCCCCTCCTCAAAACCTCTCCAGCCTTCCCGCAAGCCGCCGGCCAGACCCTCCCAAGACATTCGTGAGCTCCTCCGGTCAGCTCAGTCGCGCGTTCTGTCTGGGCTGAAGATCGCTTTCTCGGGCGTCATCCCGCACTCCTTCCCCCTCCTCTCTTCACGTGAAGGACGACTAGCCTCGCTGCTCGGAGCTCAGTGCTGGTACCTGCAGCTTCCTCCTCCGTCATGCTCGTGACCCACTTGGCAGCGAGGAGATCGCGGGAATCACACACCTCGTGGTTGTGATCCGGTAGGTGGAAGGAGGCCGTGGAGGCGAGGGAGCAGAAGCAGAAGCTGGAGGAGGAGGAGGAGGAGGAGGAGGAGGAGGAGGAGCGATCCAGTTGAGGTTGACGCTGTTTCCACCAGGACGGGACTTACAGAGAAAGTGATCGAGAGCATCAGACAAGGGGATGTTGAGATAGTCAGCCCCGAATGGTTGTACGCGTGTGCCAGCAGGTCTTGCATCCCTCCCTCCTCTCCCTCCCTACCCTCTGTTGAACTCCATGTACCCTGGTTTCCCTCTTCCTTCGCCCTCCTGCTTGCAACTGTCTCAGTCTCCTCATTCAGATGGGAGAAGGTCAGCGAGGACAAGTTTCGTCCTCCTCGATGGCAGGTCGCTTCTCCTCTCGTGCCCTTCCTCTGCTCCTCCTGACGGTCAACAGGAGTATCTCGACAAGGCAGCCTCCAAGATCTCCTCTGCTGCCCCAGACGCAGATCAGGAGCTCTCAGGTCACAGTAGGAAGAAGCGAAGGGTCGGGGGGGGCTCTGAGGCCTTGGGGAGGAAGGAAGAGGATGAGAGTCTGCGAGACAAGGAGGAGGCGAAGGGGAACGTCAAGGAACTGCTCGGAGAGCTCTCGGAGCTGATGGAGGGAGCAGATTCGATCCTGCAGACCTCCAGCAGCGCTGCTGCTCGCTCTTCCTCCCTCCAGGAAGCTGAGGCTGACAACGGAAAGTCAGAGGGATCAAGTGATGACCTCGTGGACCAGCTGGAAGACGAGCTGGACGAGCTGGACGAGCAGGACGAGCAGGAGCAGGAGCAGGAGCAGGAGCAGGAGCAGGAGCAGGAGCAGGAGCAGGAGCAGGAGCAGGAGCAGGAGCAGGAGCATGGGGGCGAGGACGAGGGTGATGACGATCTGGACAACTACTGACTTGTGTACATATGCTGTAAACTACTCTTCAAATCCTCCGCCACACGAGCATCTCCGGGTGCCGTGGAATCACCTCCTCCTGGCCCTGCCGCTGGTGCACCAGCACCAGCTCCATGCGCTCAAGCTCGCGAAGCAAATCTTCCACCTGCAGCAGCTGCCGTCAGCTGACTTGCTCGAGCTGCTCCGCCTCTCTGCTTCTCCTCCCTCGTCTTGTGTCTCCCCCTACCTCCTGCAGCACGGCGAAGCTCGCCTCCTCGCTGAAATCCGCAGCCACCATCTCCACCTCCACCCCAGCAGGCCAGACGTCCTGGCTGAGCCGCACGACATCATTCTGCCAACAGTCAGAGCCAGTAGCAGTCAGGTGCTTCGTCACCTTCGCCTCCTCCCACTCGCACAACAGGCCGTTCACCAGACACGTCCTCCTCTCCGGCAGAGGGACGCTGAGGTCCATGCGGCGGAAGCGACCCTTCCCCTCTGCCAACAGGTAACAGGACCGGTGTTGCATGCTCAAGAGCTCGGCGAGGCAGCGCGAGCGGAGGATATCCTTCAAGATGCCTCGAGGGTGCTGCGAGAGGAAGGAGAGGAGCTGGAGAAGCGTCAGCCCCAGCATGCTGCCGTCAGCTGGACTTCACCTGGTATACGAGCTGGGGACGAGCTATTTGCATGAGCCGTAGGAGGCCGAGGCTGGGTGAAGGATAAGACGAACGAGCAGGCGAGCAGGTGAGGTCACCTGAATGGGTTGGAGGGGGAGGAGCCGCTGTCCAGCCAGAGGGAGGTCAAGGTAGCTGGGCACTTGTCAAGGAAGGAGGAGATGAGAGTGTCGTGCTGGGAGCCCTCGAACGCGACGAGGAGGAACAAGACAAGGTCATTCTTGTCTGCCTTCTTCACAAACTTTGCTGCTGCTGCTGCTGCTGCTGCTGCTGCTGCTGCTGCTGCTGCTGCTGCTGCTGCTGCTGCTGCTGCCTTCTCCCGAACTCCGAAGCGACGGAGATGATGCATCAAGAGCTCTTCCGACTCCTTGGCCGTCATCTCGGGGATCAGCAGCTGCTCCTCTGAGGCTGCAGGCGACGGCGACGTGCTCTCCACACAGCACGTGAGGATGCAACGAACATACCCCAGCCGCTGCTCCTCCTCGTCAGAAAATGGCAGACCAGACCTCCTCCTCCTCCTCCTCCTCCCTCCTCCTCCTCCTCCTCCCTCCTCTCATCACCATCATCATCATCACCACCACCACATCTCGAACAACATCAACAAGAACATGAACAAGAACATCATGATCAGTATCGTATCATCACCGCCTCTGCCTCGGTCTCGTCCTCGTCCTCGTTGTCCTCTTGCTTTCTTTCGCCGTCTCTCTTCTCCTGGTCCAGCTGTGCTGCGAGCAGCACTTGAGACTGCTTCATCGCCACGAGCTCCTGCTCAAGCCGCGTCCTCCGCTCCTCATTCCTTCTCCACTCCTCCAGGCTCGCAGCCGAGTCCACCAGCCTCGCCAGCTCCTCCTCCTGCTGTCTGATGGACACCAGGAGCCCGTCGATCTTCTTCTCCAGCTGACTGTCAGCAGGAGGGCGAGGAGGTCGCAGCTCCAGTCGTCGCATGCGGCACATCTTGTACTCCTCGCTCCTCTCCACCCGCTCCTGCGCCCAGCACACGATCCCCGCCAGCTCCTTCCTGCCCCTCTCGTCCAGTCCGTCTACCATCAGCACCACCCGCCGGCCCCGGAGAGCGAAGGCGAGGAGGAGCTGAGAAGCGAGTCAGATGCCTCTCCTCTCACACGCGCGTCACCTTGCGAAGGTTTTCCGCCACCTGCTCGTGGGAGCAGCGCACGCTTGCCAGGATCTCTTGCTTGCTCCTCAACGCCTCCTCCCTCCTCCATCGCAACCTCAACTCCATCCAAACTTGGAGGATACACTCACGTACGCTCATGCCTTCAGCAAACAACAGCAACCTCAACACCTTCCTCCTTTTCTTTTTTCCTTCTTTTTCCTCCTCCTCCTCCTCCTCCTCCTCCTCCTCCTTCGATGCAGGACCGCAGGCTATATCAGCAAGTAGACTGCTCTTACCCGACCGAGGCTTCCCTACTAGCAGCAGCACAGCCTTCCTCCACTCGGCATGGCCGACGAAGACTGACCCGACAACATGCTCGCTCAGCTGCTGCACCAGCAGGTGTCGGCCTCCTCCTCCTCGCTTGCTGGAGCTGTCGGCAGGAGCTAAGGAGCTCATGTGGAGAAGCCGCTGGAGGAGAAAGCGCCGGATACAGCTCTGCCTGCTCCTCTCCTGCTCGAGGAGATGCCAGGGCTGCAGGTCCCTTCCGACATGTGCGAGGCGGTGGGAGGAGGAGGAGAGAGCCGAGTAGCACAGGCAGGCGAAGGTCTCGAGGGCCAGACGGACGCCGCCAGCGACGAGAGGAGAGGAAGTGAGCTTGCCGAGAGTGAGGGCGGAGGACATGGAGGGAGGTTTGTCGAGGGAAGGAGGGAGAGGAGGAGAGTCCTCATCCCCAGACGACAAGAGGAGCCTGCGAAGGCTCATCCAGTCGCCCATGACCTCCTCCTTCACTTCCTCTATCGCCCTCATGAACCTTTCCTCCCCTCCCTCTCCCCTCCCTTCCGCCTTAAGCCGTCCAGCAAATGCCGAGCTGTTTGCCAGCAGCTTCTCTGCTCTCCTCTCTCGCCTCTCCCGCTCCTCTCCAGCTGCAGACATGTCAAGTTGAAACCCTTGGAAGTTTGCGGGGTAGATGCTCGCTCGAGAGCCCAGCAGGCGGACAAGCCGCTGCTTCACCTCCTGCAGCGCCTCCTGCCTGCTGGCATCTTGCTCGACGAACGAGCCCTGCAGGGAGGGGACACGGCGAGCTGCGAGCTGGAAGGAGGGATGGGAAAGGAAGCTGGGGTCACGGAGGAAGAGGAAGAGCTCTGCTGCAGGAAGAGACTGAGGAAGCGAGCTGAGCACAAGTCCCACGTCTCCTCCAGCTGCCCTCCATGGCAGCGCGCGTGAGGAGAAGGAGAGAAGAGCAAGCTGGTCGCTCTCTTTCATCGTTTCCCCCAAGCAGAGGAGGAGCAGGTGGCTGGTCCTGCGCTGGAAGGTCTGCAGGTCATGAGGGGAGGGAGGAGGGGGGGAGGCAAGAGAGGGGAGGACGAGAGGAGGTTCGACCAACAACTCCACGCGGACGTTAGAGGACGAGAGAGCCCACGCCAAGGACGGGATGAGGAAGCGCCGAAGCTGCTCCAGCTCTTGCTGCGTGTCATGAAAGACTCCCGCAAGTCGCGTCCTCAACTTCCTTTGCGTCCAGAAGGGAGGGGGAAGGAAGTTTGCTCGGACCAGCTCGCAGTCTAGGATGCATGCTCCCCTCCTGTGCTTCCCTTCCGCCTGCTCCTCCTGCACCCTTTCCATGACTCTCGTCAAACTTTCCCCGAGATCCTCCATAGCTGAGCTCCTGAGCTCAATGACAAAACGGAAGAACCCCTCCTCCTCCTCCTCCTCCTCCTCCTCCTCGCCAAACGGCTCCACATGCTCAGCCATCAAGCCGCAGGCTTCTGCGAGCTCCTGACACATGGACTGCAACAGCCTGGACCTCCTCGCGCGGCGATCCCGCTCGCCCCAGCCGCAGGGGGAAGAGGAGAGGAGGAAGTTGTTCCCCTCCTTGACCTGCCCAGCTGTCAGCGACGAGCAGCCGCTCCCGGCACTCACAGCAAGAGTCTCGAGGGAGGAGAAGCCGAGGACGGAGGCGACAGCTGGCGCCACCCGCAGACGAAAGAGCTGAGGGGACGCCAAGGAGAACTTCGATCCTCTCGCCTCCGTCTGCAGCGACAGCCGCACCCTCCTGCTCGCGAGCTCCGCATGTTCCCTCAAGACCTCGTTGACCATGTGGACCAGAGAGGAGGGAGAGTAGCTGCCCTCCCGCAGCTTGAGCGGGTACCACACGACTCCTGCTCCTCCCTCCTTGCCGTCAACCCCGAGAACAAGGTGAGAGGTCATGGCAGGGATAAGCAATGACTCGCTGCTCCTGCCGCTCCTCGACTCGTCCCAGGAGATTTTCTTCCACCTCCTCCTCAGCTTTCTGTCCACCTGCGGTGAGGAAAGGAAGGGCATTGAAAGCTTCAGCGCCTGAGCTGCAAGTCAGGAAGATGGAGGAGGAGGAGAAAAGAAACAAGTGAGAGGGGAGAGAAGCGAGAGGGGGAAGAGTTGGGGAGGGAGCAAGATGAGAGGGAGGAAGAGCAGGGGATGGAGCAAGACGAGAGGGAGGAAGAGCAGGGGGAGAAAGAGGGGGGTGAGAGGAGAGAAGGAGAAGAAGACAAAGAGGAGGGAAGAAAGGTCTGCCTCGCTCGCGTGATGCTTGTACAAGTGAAACATCCGCTCCCTTGGCCCATCACTTGCCTTCAAATGCTGTCAGTCAAACGCTTCTTTCACCGACACCAGATGCTCACCTCCTCCTCCTCCTCCTCCTCCTCCTCCTCCTCCTCTGCTTCCTTCATGATAGCGCAGAGGAACCAAGAGTCTTGCTTGCGGCACACTCTCTTAAAACGAGGAGCGAAAGGAGAGGGAGAAACTTTGATGGCTTCTACCAGGCGATCAACCAGCTGATCCATATCGATCGCCTGCAATGCGCGTGAGAGGAGGAGGAGGAGGAGGAGGAGGAGGAGGAGGAGGAGGAGGAGAGGACAAGCCATGCTGAGCACAAAGCAGGAGAAAGGGAAAAGCAGGAGGGAGGAAGAAAGAGTTGGGGAAGGGAAGGAGGAGATGCAGAGCAACAGGCAAGACCGTCGAGGTAGAGGAGGAAGCGAGCATGTGGTAGGGGCTCAAGGATAGACTAGCGATGCAGACAACATCAGCCCCATCCCTCCTCATGTCCATTATCTGCTTGCTCGTCAGAATGCCTGGAAACCTGCTCGCCTCCCTCCTCCACCTTCACCACCACCACCACCTCCTCCTCCTCCTCCTCCTCCTCCTCATCGCCCCTCATCTCCGTCTTCCTCCTCCCTCTGGTCTCAATCCCTTTGACCTCTCCGCCTCCTCTCGCTCACCTGCACCATCACAGCCCTGCTGACCCTCTTGTCCATCTCCTGCAGACATGACCCCACAAACTCGCACAGCTCAAAGCTTAGCTTCGCTCCTTCCCCTCCCCCTCCCTCCTCTCCTGCCACGCGGAACTCAAGTAGCCGCCTGTCGTCGAAGAGCTGCGACTCAAGGAGAAAGCTCAAGGCCTGCGCGAGCATCAAGACAGCAGGGAGGAGGAGCACGAGAAGAACGCGAAGAAAGGGAAGACGGGGTGGAGCAGCATTAGGAAGAAGAAAAGACAGACGTGCGTTAGGAGGAGGAGGAGGAGGACGAGGAGGAGGAGGAGGAGGACGAGGAGGACGAGGACGAGGACGAGGACGAGGACGAGGACGAGGACGAGGACGAGGACGAGGACGAGGACGAGGAGGAGGACGAGGAGGACGAGGAGGACGAGGAGGACGAGGAGGACGAGGACGAGGACGAGGACGAGGAGGAGGACGAGGACGAGGACGAGGACGAGGACGAGGACGAGGAGGACGAGGAGGACGAGGAGGACGAGGAGGACGAGGAGGAGGACGAGGACGAGGAGGAGGACGAGGACGACGAGGAGGAGGAGGAGGAGGAGGAGGACGAGGACGAGGAGGAGGACGAGGAGGACGAGGAGGACGAGGAGGACGAGGAGGAGGACGAGGAGGAGGACGAGGAGGAGGACGAGGAGGAGGAGGACAGGACCTGGGCCTTGTCGCGGGAGGTCAGGGAGCAGCCGTTGCTGACCACTGAGATCGCCTGCTCCAACCTCTTCCTTTCCATCCTCCTCGAAAGAAACTCGCTGAGGGCCTCAGACAAGCCACGAACGAGTCGCTCCCAGCTGGTATCAAGCTTGTGCTCCATAACCACACGAAGTCGATCGAGCATTGACTACGAGATTCGTCAAGACAGAAAGAAGAACAAGGACAAGAACAAGGACAAGGACAAGGACAAGAACAAGGACAAGGACAAGGACAAGGACAAGAACAAGGACAAGGACAAGGACAAGGACAAGGACAAGGACATATTCGCACTCTGGCCATGACGAGAGCTGGGATCGCTCCTATACAAGCGAGGAAGGAGCAGGCGATCAGCTCAGCGCCTCCTCCCTGGAGCTTCTGCTGGAGACGCTGAGATAAGTCGAGGAGGTCGAGGAAGACAAGCTCGCGGCCCTCCAGCTTCTCGTCGAGCTCCACCAGCCTCCACACTCGCTGCCATCGATCGCCGAACTCCCTCCGTAGGTCTGCTTGCATCTGCTCGCGCTGCTCCCCCCCTGATCGAGACACTCACCAACGAAAGACTCCAAGACAGAAGAGGAAGCAGAGGCGAAAGACAAGAAGGAGAGGAGGAGGAGGCATGGGAAGTGGGAACAAAGGCTAGAGACTCATGATCAAGAGGAGACAAGGAGATACAATCAGTTCGCAGCTCAAGCACAAAGACGTCGACAGAGCTTGCATTAGCCAAGAACGTCTGGACAGAAGTGAAAAGCTGCTGCAAGGTCTGCGATAGGAGGTGTCAGCCATGATTGAACAAGTGAACGAGCAGCAGCAGCAGCAGCAGCAGCAGGAACACCAGCTCGAGCTCCTTCAGGTGCTGTTCGAGCGCTTCGTCTTGACTCCCCCGGGCCCACGCGAGTTGAGCGAGGGTGAGAGGTCGCTGAGAGACCGGGAAGGCGCAGCCGTGCTGGTCGATCATGCGGAAGCGAAGGTGGAAGACTCTTGGAGGATAAAGAGCGTGAGGGGAAGGGAGAAGACGTCATGAGAAGCGAAGGAAGGAAGCAAGGGGGAGGAGGAAACTTGCGCGGACCTGATATGATCCGCGTGGGAAGTGACAAGGTCAAGAAGCGAACTGAGCGATTCCTGCAGCCCCACAACCTCCAGCAGCTGCTCCCAGTGTCACGCTCCCCCCCCATGGGAACTTTTCTCTACTCCTAATTTCCTCCTCTTCCTTTCTCCCTCCTCCTCCCTCTCTCCTCCTCCTCCTCCTCCTCCCTCTCTCCTCCTCCTCCTCCTCCTCCTCCCTCTCTCCTCCTCCTCCTCCTCCTCCTCCTCCTCCTCCTTCCTCTGCTGCTCACCTCGTGGCCGTCGAGAGGACGCCCAATCTCCGAGCGACGAGCATGGCAGAGAGCAGAGACGCGCTGCAGCGAGAGCCTGAGGGCGATGAGAGACGAGGAGAAGCCTCTACGAGGGAAGCATCAGGATGAGACGATGACGAGAGAAGAGAAGAAGACGAAAACGAGGAGGGGGGAAGGGGGGAGACGAGGATGAGGACGAGGACGAGGACGAGGACGAGGACGAGGACGAGGACGAGGACGAGGACGAGGACGAGGAGAGCAGTTCGGAGCCTCGCCTGTGCTCAATGCATCTCGAGAGGAAGAGAATACTCCATACTCTCCGCAGGAGGTTCCACTGACCCCCTACGAGAGGAACGGAGGGAAGAAAACAAAAGAGAACCTCGGGAACCTAAGCAAGGAAAGGGGTTAGGAATGAGGGGTGAAGGTTTAGGAGAGAAAGAAGGGTGAAGAGGAAGGTTTGAAATGAAGGAGAGAGCGAGGACCTTTCTCTCCAAGAGCCATTCTTCCTTGAACATCTCACGTCCTCCACTTAGAACAGAAAGACAACTTCTCTGTTTCCTGTCCAGGTCTCAGCAGACAAAAACAGGAAGAGAAGGGGGGGGGGAAAGTGGACGACGATGACAAGCTGAAGACGTAGTCGAACACGAAGATGAAGAAGAGAGGAGTGAGAAGGAGGAGCGCGAGCTGTTACATGATCAGGAACTCCTCGTACTGCTTCAAAGCGAACAATCTCTTCACGTGCCGCTTCAAATCCCTTGCTCCTTCCTCCATCTCCTTCCACCTGCCTCGATCCGCAAGCATTCGAACGCGGGCCTGCAGAGCTGCAGAGGAGGAGGAGATCCCTCTCACTTCCTCGTACAAGCGCCTCCCCATCCGCCGCAGCAGCAGCGGGGAGAGAACGCGGACGAGCTGAACGCAGGAGACTCTATGATCGATCTTCCTTCTTGCCGCTGCCTGCAGTTGCAGTCAGAGGGGAAGAGGCGAAGGCTCGCGCAGGGCCTGGAGGAGGCAGGAGGACGCGAGGGCTCGAGCTCGAAGCTGCTCCTCCATCCTCGTCCGCAGGTCCAGCAGGTCAAGATGGCGCCAAAGACTCTCATCCCCTCGCGCCTTCTCAAGCCCATGCCGCCGCAGCAGCTCGCGGTTCGCAGCTGCTACCTCAGCTGGGAGACCGAGCACAAGCACGCAGCCCCCAGTCGTCCCCACGACAATCGCCCGCTGCTCTGCTTGCAGAGAGTCACTCGATCCTCCTCCTCCCTCCTCTCCCTTTTCCAGCTTGTCCTCCTCCATCCTTGCTCAACGGGTTCGCACCTTCATCATACCCGACGCAAGCAGCAGTGCATGGCAGGTCTCGGAAGGAGGCGAGCAAGTCTCCGGTGATGCAGCTCCGCACCAGAAGAGACGCGGAGGAAGGGGAGCGATCGAGAGAGAAGAGAAGGAGCCTGAGGAAGAACTAAGCTCAGGGGATAAGACAGCAACGCGAGAGGATGTGACGGCAACGCAGCAGGCACGGGAGAGGAAGGCGGCTCACCCAGAAGCGTCGCAGCAGATATGAAGAGCAGCAGGAGCTAGGAGCAAGAAGAAGACGATTTTCCTCTGCTCCACGTCCACGAATTGAAGCTTTCCGCTGGGAAGGAGGACGAGAATAAAGAAACAATGAACAGCAATGGCGACGGGTGACTGCTCAAACGAAAGATCAAACTTCTTGTGCGATTGTTCTGAGAGCCCATCCACCTGCACCTCCATCAACTCCTCCTCCTCCTCCTCCTCCTCCTCCTCCTCCTCCTCCTCCTCCTCCCCCTCCCCCTCCTCCTCCTCCTCCTCCTCCTCCTCCTCCTCCTCCTCGACCTCGTAGGCAGAGAGAGTTCTAGAGGAGGAGAGGGTGACCAGAAGGAAGGAAGAGGATGAGCGCATGTCGTGCTGGCGCGTCACGAGACTTCCCCAGCACCCCGACAGCCTTGTACTCGATGACACCTCGATGCTGTGCTGGTGAAGGACGATCAGGGGCATGAGCACCCAACATGGCAGGAACAGAGGCAGATCAAGATGTACCAGCTCAAGCTCAAGCTCAAGCTGTGTGAGCTGATCTCACCTGAACGACTCTGAGGGATTGGAAGGCGGAGAGCGAGTCGAGGAGGAGAACCCTCCCATCCTCCGCCTTCGATGCCAGCCAGCGACCTGCTGGAGCCCAGCTGAGGCCCAGCACGTCTCCCCTCGAGACCCGGACAGACGCGTGAAGCTTGAATGCGAGCGAAGGCGAACTAAAGCTGCGAGAGAATGAGGATTCAGAACCAGAAGAGAGGAGGAGGAGGAGGAGGAGGAGGAGGAGGAGGAGGTACGGGAGCCCCAGAGAGGCAGGGGAAGGGACAAGACATTCATACTTGGAGGAGAAGACGAGGACGCGGCCGGTCGACATGCCGCAAGCGAGGAAGAGGCGAGAAGGATCGACAGCAAGTGAGGAGATCGCGAAGTTGCCCTGGCTGTCTGGTCGTCAGCCTTCAAGGACAAGGACCAACGAGATAAACCTCCAGCTGACTGCAAGCTGCCTGTCAGCCTGCGAGACTTTCCGGAAGTCTAGATCAGCATGCGCCAAGTTGGCGATGTCGATGCAGGAAGGAGACAGAAAGGAAACAGAGGAGGAGGAGGAGGAGGAGGAGGAGGAGGAGGAGGAGGACGGAAGCGCATAATTTCTTGGTAGGTGCTTGTTACGGAAGTATGTGAGGAAAAGAAGAATCCCTGTCCGTCCGGCAGCGATCACTCCTGTCCCGCTTGCGAACAAGTCAAACAAGTCGATCACATTTTGAGAGACGTCCGAACAAGGAGGGCGAAGCTCAGGTACCTGGACCTGCCGTACAAGGAGAGGCTTGATATTTCTCCTGGAAACGAACTGGAAGGAGTGAGCAGGAGGCATGAACGAATCGCCTCCTCACGTCTGGCTGGCGATCTGCTGCCTCCTCTGAGTGTCGAAGACGATCAGATCCCCGTCGTCCGTGATGACTAGCAGCGCATTAGAGACACGAATCATCTTGGAGATCAGCGGGTGCAGTGGAGTTGAATCTCTAGGCACGTCGCCCAACACTGTGTCCATGCTCTCGGACTTGATGTACTTGTCCTTGCACACTTGAGCCTGGTCAGCATCATCAGCTGTCGTTCTGCGCAGTCATATGTCAGAGACCCAATCTTGCATTACGGAACCTTTCTTCTTGTCAAGAGCCAGCACAACTCCTTGCGACCCTCCTACAAGCACTCGCTCGCCTTGGCACCTAGTCAGCTTGATCGACCCGACGACACTCAGACCTGGCAGGCAACAGATCGAGGAGAACAATCCTCTCCTCGCATCCAGCTGGACCTCGCGGATCTTTGTTCCCTGTCGCTTGTTGATCATGCACAAGAATTTCTGATGAGATTGTCTACCGTGAACATGTCCACAACCCAAATCAAGTTATGACGGCTGGCCACACGTCAAGGAAGAAACACCGGCAGAGACCAACCTCAACACAGAAATGCTGGCAGAGGATTCATCGACGGAACCATCTATGAAAAGTTCTTCTGCGCTTGTACCTATCCTCCACGTGTACGAGAGATCAAACAGCCTATCTTCGCTGTCCTGCACAAGGGGGGTAGCGTGCATCCTCTTCTTGACGGACTGCCAGCTCAACGCCACGAGGTCATGAGAAGTGAGGAGGAAGAAGTCGAGCATGCCCTCTACCGCTAGGATAGCAGGGAGCACAGGCGAGGCTTCGACCTTGTGACTGGTGGTGGAGTACTCGGAAAGTATCCTGAAGGAATGCCAAGGGTCTCTCAACCTCACAGCATAGATCGGGTTGCTCCTAACGCTCTTGACTGCATGCTCTAAGCTCACGAGCAGCTTACCTCCCTTAGGGCAGTGCATCTGTCGCACTCTCCAATCCTCCTCTCCATGGCGCTCTCCGACGGACACCCGTGCTAGTTGCTTCATAGAGGCAAGGTCCCAGCAGATAAGACATGTGCTGTCCGCTGAAAACAGGCAGCCGCTAGTCTCCTCGACCGCAAGAGCTTGCACCTCCCCTGCATGCCCTCGGAAATGAGCCCGCGCACCATCCCCCAAGCTGTGCCGGACGACGAAATTCTCGGCAGCAAAGAAGACCAGGCCATGAGCGCGCGAGCTCACGACAGGGAGGCAAGAGGAGACGCCGAAGATGGCATCGACATCCGATGCCATCAGTCCATGTGTAGGGAGCGAAGGGCGACTGGCAGGGGGGATGGGGCAGGAGATACGTGGTAGGTAGGAACGGATCAACGGGAGACAGTGGAAGGATATTGGAGGGGTCCATTTTACTACAAAATTTTAAGTCGGAGAGGGTGGGGTAGCTACTGAGACCAGCGGGGATGGACGAAACCGGACGGGCTGATGGGAGTAGAGCGACGAAGGAGGAGGAGAGGGGGAGGGAGGACAAGGTTGTTGAGAAGGAAAAAGAAGTTGTAGGAGAGAGGGGAGCGAGTGAAGCATCGAGTGGTTGCTTTGAAGAGGGAGCAGCAGGCAGAAAGGCCGGAGACATGAAAGTCCAGATTGAAATTCCTGAGGAGAAAGGACCGATGTCAGAGAAAGAGGAGAAGGCTGTGGAAGCTCTCCTGCTGGTAGATGAAGATCTAGCAGCAGGAAGTTGGTCCCCTGTCAGGGAAAAGGAGATCTTCTTCTTCCCCAAGGTGAGTCCCAATCAAAGGTATGTTGTCGTTCTTGAGATGGGTTGCATTGCAGGCGAATAGAATGCATTATGCTGACAGCAGCAAGGACAAACGTGCCGTCAGAACATCTCCAACGAGATCCTCCGCAGAGACGAGGGTCACCCCTGCACACAAGGACTCGCAGGAAGAGTCGTTTGACGACCTCGGACTGCGCGAGAGCATATTGCGAGACCTCCGATGGATACAAGACAATGACGATGAGCGTGTGATGGAAATCATGAGACCGCGTGTCATCTCATTGGAGCAAGAGACAAGAGAGCAAGGTCATCCGCATGAATGCGAGAGACCTCATCACAACGCCGAGAACGAACTCCATCGCTCGAACCCGGCAGAACCGAAACATGAGGAGGACAAGGAGGAGCACTGCCCGGCTTCGCCTGAGAACAACAAGAACGAGCACTTGATAGCGAGGATGTTGTCCAATACCCCTTCAAGTCCTCCCGGCTTGACTCCCAAGGCTGTCATGAGCATCCGCTCTCTCAGCGGAAGGACGGCGAAGCAAGTTTACACAAAGGTGGGCTATCCGCGGTCGGCGAGTGTCCTGTCAAAGCGAAACGACGCGGAGAGAAGTGGCAACGAGCGAGCTCGGGGGGAGAGGCTCATGACGGCTCCTACTCGCAACCGCAGCCATGAGATGGGATTGGAAACCTCCTCCCCCGCCTCTCGGGTGAAGCTGACCCCGCAACCCTCGCTCATGCTTACTTCTTCTCACAGGAAACCTCTCGCGCAGGGAGACAGGCGTTTCAGGGGTTGCAATTCGAACAAGCTAGAGAGCAGTTCCGCACTCTTGTCATGCCTTCTCGGCAGGCGTGGGGGAACTTTGGGGAACAAGCAGGAGTGCACAGAAGACTTTCATCGGACGGAGGCTCACTAGAAGCAAATCAACGTGGCAGGTTTACTCCTTCCCTCTGCCCCCTCCCCAAACACCTCCCTCTATCTCTCCCCCACCATTCGCCTTCTCCTCTGTTCTCCTGCAGTTCCTCCCCTTCCTCGCCTGGTAAGCTCGTGAGCTGAAGTCCGTGTGATCAGGCGGCCAGTGGGCTTGACTGTGCAGCGTCTGGACCTTCAGTTTGGAGTTGAGAATTTGGGAGGTGGAGCCGATCGAATCAGAGGACATGCCAGAGAAGCGGAAAGAAATCCTACTTCCACAAGGAACGCGCTGAAACCAAGGCCATTGAAGACTAACAACGCTCTTGCTGTCCTGCATTCGAATTCTCCTGTTCGATGAGAGTAAAACTTGAAGTACAGTACTGCGTGACTAGTCGCAGTCCGAGGCTCTAGAGCTAGGCTTCTAACTCTGATGGCTCTAGAGCTAGTCTCAGCCTTCCAAGTTCCGAGTTCCGCTCCAACCGCCGAAGATGAGTAGATCTAGAGCAGTCACGACGAACAGTCCTCCTGACGGTCCGATCCGGGGGCCGGGGCCCGGCGGACTCGGGAGCAGACTGAGTAATCTCAGATCTAGAGCAGATCTAGCGGACTGCTCTAGATCTAGACTCACCCGAGGCCAGAGGTGATCCAAGGAGCGATTGGAGGAGCGATCATGGACATGGGAGCGCGGAGGGGAGCGATAACAGCGATAGCGATGATGCTGTCTACAACGCCTCCTCATGCCTTCTGGAGTGATAGAGCCATGATCAGCCTCCGCCCGCCCTCCTTTCTACGACCAGCATGCAACCTCTTGCCAACAAGACCATCGTTGGGAACCCTGACTATGCGCGTGCAAAGAAAGGTGCAGGTGGAGGGCCAGACGAGCGGTGGGGCTGAGTCAGGCAGCAAGAGGCTCAGACGCCCCAGTAACTGGTGGCAAGACATAAATCAAGTCAAGGAGGAGCTCGTGGCTTTCTGCGAGGCGCACAACCTTCCCGTGGAAGTCCTCCCTTCGGAAAGAGAGTTCAGATCGTATCCTGGCGGGATGCACGTGATACATGCCATCAGAAAGCATGGCGGGTTTGTCAAATTCGGAGAGTTGGTTGAGATCCCTGCACGCAGACCGCGTGAGTCGCCTCCGAGAACACAGAGAAGGAAGACGACAGGTAGAGACGAATACGGCCGTTTCTCGGAAGAGCTTGTTTTCCAGGAGCATCTCCTCAACTACTCAAAGACAATCGAGACATGGAACTGGAAAGTGTTGCCCTCTAACGCAGACCTCAAAGAGAATGGCAGAAAAGACCTCATAAACGCCATTTACAGATATGGAGGGCGGTATATCGATAAAGCTCAGTTTTCCGAATATGCTGATGTATGATGACAGAAAACACATCGCGAAGAAATTCGGTCTTCTTCTCACGACTGAATTCAAGTGCGAATGATTGTTTTTTAATTATGAGTGTCACGTCTTAGCAAATGATTAGCGAGCAATTCTTTTCGATGTACAGGCGAATTCGCTGATCTTGGTGGTTTTGATCAGTTATTTGGTGGAATTCTATCACCTCCTCAAGGAGTTGAGATCGTATCAAGAAGAGAAACAACAACTCGGAAAGGTTTGTCTTGGATGTGCTCAATGATTCGAGACTTCTTAACTGCCGATTGCGGGCTTCTAGATGCCTTCATTCAAGCAGTTGATTGCTAACGGCAGACAAGACCTTGCACGGATGATATGCAAGCACGGGGGGCAGGTGAAAGTTTACATGCTCAGATGGACAGCGATTGATGCATCATCTAGAATGTCTTGGCTGCAAGACTTGATCTACAGTTGGACAGGCCCAGAAAACCATACCTCGTCTGGGGTCAGTTCAGTATCGATTTCGCCATAGATCTCATCGAGATAGCAGGAGTGAGCATCATGGGAACATCTCTTTTTCTTGCTAAAATGCATACACTCCAGCAACACAGTCAAGACATCGGAAGGACAGAGCGGATCTTGATGCCCAACGCAACAACATTACAGTCGATTCATCGAGCTGATCTAATTGAGAAGGCGAGCATTGCGCTTGAGGCGTCTTTCTGTGACACGCCTCTCCAGATCGAAATGTACGGAGGCTTTGTAGACGTTGCAAGGCGAATCGGATTGGATCCAGATTAGGCTACTTTCCTTCGTTTGCTCTTTCACCCACATCAAACTTTGCAATACAAGATTGATCGCAAACAAAGTGGAAACTATTTTTACTGTTTCAGCCACGCCTTGACAGACAGCACTCCCCTCCCCTCCCCTCCCCTCCCCTCCCCTCCCCTCCCCTCCCCTCCCCTCCCCTCCCCTCCTCTACTCGATTCTACTGGCTGTCCCTTTTGCTCTCTGAGGTTCATATTGCGAGGGTAGACATGAAGGGGTACTAAATCGTAAGGGGTGGTGAGAAGAGGATAAGAAGGGGTTAAATTCAAGTAAATTGGAGGGTGGGGGTTCAATTGAAGGAGGTTGTGAATGTCTGAACAAGAAATCAAATGGGGTAGGGTAGGTGAGGTTGAGGCTGTTCGGGAAAGACAAGAATGGTGGGCAAGCGGAAGCGAACAGCAAGCGAGATAAGAAGGTGAGATCGCAGTGACATGCACATGAACAAGGAGCATCATCTACATCCGTCGTCAGATGATGAGCAGGAGCAGCAAGATGAGGAGGGTTGGGTGGAGGGGATGCAGCAGCAGCAGCAGCAGCAGCAGCAGCAGCAGCAGCAGCAGCAGCACAAGTCAACGTAAATGAAATTGCAGATTCAAGGGCTGTGTAGATTAAAGAGAAGAATACGCAGAAAGCGATGACAAGGGGGAAAGAATTGCTATGATGATAGAGGAGGGATCGAACTAAAGGGCTAAAGACTAAAGCTCCTCTGGCAGTTTCTGCAACTCTGCCGGTTTTGCAAATAAGTTTGAAGACTGGGAAGACGATGAGCTAGTTGAGATCGATTTTAATCAACTGCTCGCGATCGGTTTCACTAGTGATCAAGCTGCTCGAGTCACCTGCAAGATAAGGTGCTTGCTTGTGTTCAATTTCAAACTCAAACTGTGACCTCGGAAGAGCATTGAAGAAGGAGGAGGAAAGAGTCAGGCCCCTGAACCAGCAACTGCACAATTTCGCTCGAACGGGATTTCGGGTAGCAGAGGAAAGAAAGAAGAGAAGAAAACTCACTGTAGACTCAGAGGGTGCAAGGACTCTTCTTCTCCCACAAAGAATCGCTCATCGGTGAGATCGATCGCCTTCTACGTGAAGGTGCTCAAGTCAACTCTGTCGATGAGGTTGATCCTCCTGCTCTTCTCCCGCTCTCTTCATCTCAAACGCAGCTGGGCGAGACAGCATTGCATGGAGCATGCAAAGGAGGTCACAGAGACATCGTAGCGAGGTCTGTCTTGCTGTGCCTTGCTGTGCTCATCCTGCTTGCCAGGTTGCTGCAAGCGGGCGCAGACATCAACGCCATGAGCGTGCATGGCAAGAAGCCTGACGTCATGCCGCATCTCCCGCTCATTGCGGTCCTCTCCTTCCTCATCCCTCTGACTCTCTTGACGCGGGGCAGGTGGCTGAGCGTGGGCCCTTGGAGGTGGTCCGAGCGCTGATAGAAGGCGGAAGCAACCTGAACCAGCAGGACGACATGGGTCACACGCCTCTGCACCAGGCAGCCAAGGCTGGGAACTTGGAGGTGGTGGAGTTGCTGGTGGCCAAGGTGACTTGCCGCCCTCCTCCTCGTCTCTCACGCACACTGAGGGATGCGACGTTGACCGACACGACAAGCGCGGGCGGACGGCGCTGCATGTGGCAGCAGCAGAGGGTCATTTGAAGTGCACCAACTTCCTGCTGGAGCACGTGAGCATGCTCCTCTCCTACCGCTCTCATAACTTGACGCGGAAGGGAGCCAACGTGAACGCGCGTACGGATGCAGGAACGACCGCTCTCCATTGGGTGGCTGTGCTGGGGTGCCAGGTGAGAAGCCACATGAGTTCTTGGATGACAAGGGGAGCAGAAGACGGCCAAGGCTCTGCTGGAGCATGGCGCAGAAGTGAACTCGAGGAACAATGAGGGGTGAGAGCTTCTCCCTCCCTCTCTCGCTGACGGCTCTCACAGCTTCACCCCCCTCGACAGAGCGACAGACGAGGAGATGCGGAAGCTGCTCAAGGAGCGAGGAGGACGAGAGTCTCTGGGCTGGTGGTCCTTCAAGTCGTGAAGCTGTGCAGGCACAACAAGGTTGACGCTGCCATGCTCGGCCGTTCCAAGAAAATTTCGATTATGAAGAATTTAATCGTGAAAAAGAAGAGACCCCTCACCCGCCCTCAACATCTTCTTTCTGGCTTCTTGTCTCATCAGCCTAGCGATCTTGCACTTGACTTGTAAAGACTTAATTGCTCACGTCGTCGAGCTCCTCTTCACCCTCAGAGTCTCACTGCTCAAGCTGCCGACGCGTCTTCGCTCTCCTGTTTCATCTGCCAAGCCTGTCAAGTCTCTGCCGACAGCAGCAGCATCATCAAGCCCCTACGTCCTTCATCATGGCCTCGTTCTCGCTCTTAGTCTCCACACTGCCTTCAGAGCGCTCGCGCACCTGTCACTCCTTCACTTCTCCTCCTCCTCCTCCTCCTCCTCCTCCTCCTCCTCCTCCTCCTCCTCCTCCTCCTACAGTCACCATGGAGGCGAAGATGTGCTGGAGAAATCCGGCGGCTCCGAGCAGAAACGCGCAAACGAGGAAGACAGAATCATCTGAAACGGTTCCTGGAGCAGCGAGTGAAAACAAAGAGGTACAATTGCTGCAAGCACCTAAGTTAGAGAGGACGAAGATGACGATGAGGTTGAGAGGAATGCGGAAAAAGTTGTAGACAGTTGCGCGGACCTAAGGGTTCAGTTCAACGACAGGAGAAGACCGGAGAACACGGGAGGGGAAGAAAGAGGAAGACGAGAGAAGAAGAGCACGAGCACGAGGGCATGGCGATCATTGCGGTAGCTTTGGTGGAGGTGGAGGAGGTTGTGGTTGAAGAGCGGTTCCGGTGAGGGGAATAAGGATGGGATTGCTTAGAGTTTCGTGCTGTACCTCTTCAGGAACATATTTGGACTTGATTGTCGCCATGCTCGGCCAGTAGACTCCACAGATCAACTGCAAAGGTTGAGAAATAGAGAGGGCGGGGGGAGGGGCAACGGCAGGTCACCTCGAAGAGGAAGAAGCAGAAGAGAGTGATGTATGCGTTGATTCCAGCCATCGCCGGCACCCCCAGGCATACAGCAGCGAGCAGGAAGACTTCGCGCATGAAGACCTGCAGCCAGTGAGAGGAAGATGAGGCTGGTGAGGCCGCAGCTACCACAGGAGGTCCCCGCAGGGTTGTGATGCTCTTGACGAGGCTCGAGCCGATGACCATGCAAGCCATGAAGCAGCCGAACACCTTCAATGGGGCTAAGGGGCAGCTGGACGACAAGTGAAGCCTACCTGGCCGTGTGGCAGAGGCTTGAAGAGAGGTTCAAGCTTCGGCGTCCACATGAACACCTTGTAACAGCTCAAGTCAATGTCTTGCTTGCCCTCTATCAATTCGTGCAAACACGCACAAAGATGTACATCGCGCCTTCGAAGCATGACCTGTGACGCAGATTAGAGCGTGAAAGAGACCAATTCAAATATCACTGAGCCATTCCCAAGACTAAAATCTTAGGATCTCTCTTGAAAATTTCAATCGCTGCCTGAGCATTCAGATCAATGAGTGATCTCGATTAGCCATCTTGTCCTTGTCGTTGATCTCACTTGAACTTTCCCATTGTCGTCGTAGCGACCAGAAGCGAGAGAAGACTCTCCCTTGTTTTCAGCCCAAGTAAACCAGATGACCTGCGATCAACTCAACCTCCATTATCCTGTACATTCTTCATCACGCTTTACCGCCATGGCCAGCGCGAGGAAGACAATGGCGAGGTCGAAAGGTGCGACCAGACTGTGAGGAATGGGGATGTGAGGCGAGAAGAGCAGGGAGGCAACAGACCTGTCGAAAGAATCCCTCACAAGAGCTCCAAGCCATCCAGCAGCGATGGCAACGATCCCATTCCCAACCGTCGCGAGGGAGAAAGTCTGGCTCAACCACTGGACGACAAGCGTCATGTCAACAGAGAAATAGGGAAGTCAGCTTGTACACCTCGGAAGGATAGAAATGTTTTCCGTGCTCCGCCACCATCCAAGATTCGAAGGACGAGAAGAGAATTGACGTAGCAATTCCACCTGCGAATCTCATCTCACAATCTGAACTGGAAGTATCCATCTACTGCAACAACGTACCAGTTAATCGTCCAAACAAGAGGACGTTGAAGTTGGGAGAGTGCTTGGTCAAACAAGATACCTGAAAAATTGCTTCATCAGAAGAAGTAGATCGTGATTTGTCAGTCCAATCTTACAATGTAAGTCACACAGTATACTAGACATGAAAGTTTTCGCCCATATCTGAACTTGAAAATCAAATGCGTCTAGTTCATACTCTAACCAGCACTTGTCTGCGAATGATCCAGCGAATACGCCGAACACCGCACTGCTACCAAACCCGACGATAAAGAGCACTCCAATCTGTTCTTCAGATTTACATGCTAACACGCTCATCTCATCTGATTCAACCTCCTTCTTGGTGAACTTGTAGTAATCGTATAGCGCATAAACGTAAGGTCCTTGCAACCTGAACGGTCTGATCACTCGGGTTACCTCCAAGAGAGTATCTTACCAATCAGCCATAACAGAGCAGAAGTAGACCACCAGATATAACCGTTGGAACTTCTTGAAGTCAGACTAGGCCAAGTGTCAGAAGGAACACCTATTGCTGTTGCTGAAGATAGGAGAATCTCAGGGTGAAGATGAAAAGAAGAGGATGAAGTCCAGAAAGGAAGAGGCTCCTCTTGTCTAACGTACCGTGGTGGGTGATCCTGCAGTCTTTGAACGATTCTGAAGAAAAGCAGGTGAAATTAGCGTGTCGTTGCTTTCAATGAGCGCTACAACAGGCCAGCAACCAGCAAGCCAGCGAGCCAAGAGGGAAGGTAACAAGGGAGGGAGGGGGAGGGGAGCAGGAACATGATAGCCGTATCGCATAAATGAATGTCGCTGCGAAGGACAGAGGACGGCTGCTCCAGCATAGCCGCTCTCTTCGTCCGGTCAGCTGGGCATCGCCCTCCAGGGGCAGTAGTGAGGAGAGGAGGGGAGAGGAGGGGAGAGGAGGGGAGAGGAGGGGAGAGGAGGGGAGAGGAGGGGAGAGGAGAGGAGGACGGGATGAGGAACGAGGGAGGGGAGGCAGGTCATGCCTGCGCCAGCTGAATCGCCGCATAGAGGCCGCAGAGCGCGAAGAAAAGAAAGTCGAAGAGCATGGCGCTGCTGGATCCTAGGGCTGGCGGGTGGATTGAACACAAGGGGTACTTCAATAGTAGAGGTGGGTTTATTTCACACGGGTGTATTCCTCTGCAAGGACAGGGTAAAGGTAGGGTAGGGTGGGTCTTTGAACAGATCATGGTAGGGGTCTCAGATGAAGGGGGGTGAGTGACGAAGCAATGGGTTGTGTCACATGTATCCATGACGATACTACCATCATTATTACTTACGGAAAGTACCGTACCGTCAGTGACACCCTGAAACCTGGCTTCTGGACTCCGACGCCGGGTCCGGCCCGCCCGGCGCACACAGCAATACAAGTTTAAGTTTGGGGGACAGCAAAAGCCAAGCCGGAGCCTCACAGCCTGCCTGATGATGCAGGACGCTACGTGGTACACATCCCTGGTCTGCGCGCTCTCGTCGACTCGTCTCATGAGCACTTCAGTAAGTTCCTCCGCCTGCGCAGCGCAATGTGACTGTGATCCTCTTGTCATGCGGAAGTTTCCTCGCCTTGACGTTTACTGTGCATAGGATTTACTGGCAGAAGGTAAAAAGTGCCTCAAGCAAAACAGAGCAGGAACAAGCTAAACCTCCAGGCACACAGTCCACAGCGAGAAGCTGCACAAACACACACAAAACACAAGCCCGAAAAGAACCAGCACTGCTGGCACCCAGACGCGGCACCGCCAGCCCAAGCGCGAAGCCGCGCAGACAAGCAGCCTAAGGGTCAGGCAATCAAGCAACAAGCAGCAGGAGCATGCAGGAGGAATAACATCCCTTAGACGCGATACCCGGAGGCAGCCGACTGACCACTGTCAGTCGAGACGTCCGCTGCCGCCACAAAGCGGGCGGCCGCGGACGGAGAAAGGGCAGCCGCCGACAAGGAGCCGGCGTTGCCCGGGGGTCCGCCTGGGGCAGCGGACGGAGGGAGGCTGGACACATGAACATCTGGGGCATAGGATTTACTGGCAGAAGGTAAAAAGTGCCTCAAGCAAAACAAAGCAGGAACAAGCTGAACCGGCAGGCACACAGTCCACAGCGAGAAGCTGCACAAACACACACAAAACACAAGCCCGAAAAGAACCAGCACTGCTGGCACCCAGACGCGGCATCGCCAGCCCAAGCGCGAAGCCGCGCAGACAAGCAGCCTAAGGGTCAGGCAATCAAGCAACAAGCAGCAGGAGCATGCAGGAGGAAGAAAATCCCTTACACGCGATCTGGTATCTGGCGGACATCACTGCTCAGCGCTCGATGCCTCTTGAGGATGCGGCGCTTGGTCGGCACTTCGTTCCTGATGACGGCCTGCTGCTGAGGTCTTGGCTCGAGAGACATAGGATTTACTGGCAGAAGGTAAAAAGTGCCTCAAGCAAAACGCGCCGCCACCTATCAGCGCCTCACCATGCAGCTGACGCTGGAGGCGCTCCTGTCTGGTGCGAGGCGCATGACGCCCTTGCGGGCGCAAGCTTATTACGGATTTACTGGCAGAAGGTAAAAAGTGCCTCAAGCAAAACAAAGCAGGAACTTCTCGAGCCAGAGGACAGCTCCTCCTCGGACTTTGTCGACGGTCGCCCGAGGAGTCTTCGCCAGAGGTCCAGAGTGGAGTCGACGCGCCCACTGTGACGTCGGATGCCTCCGGAGAGCTCGACACCACTGGCTAAATGGATTTACTGGGGTGCTTGCTGGTCCGAGCTCACCTGCCTCCGCAGCCGGTCGGATTTACTGGCAGAAGGTAAAAAGTGCCTCAAGCAAAACAAAGCAGGAACAAGCTGAACCGGCAGGCACACAGTCCACAGCGAGAAGCTGCACAAACACACACAAAACACAAGCCCGAAAAGAACCAGCACTGCTGGCACCCAGACGCGGCACCGCCAGCCCAAGCGCGAAGGGTCAGGCAATCAAGCAACAAGCAGCAGGAGCATGCAGGAGGAAGAAAATCCCTTAGACGCGATACCCGGAGGCAGCCGACTGACCACTGTCAGTCGAGACGTCCGCTGCCGCCACAAAGCGGGCGGCCGCGGACGGAGAAAGGGCAGCCGCCGACAAGGAGCCGGCGTTGCCCGGGGGTCCGCCTGGGGCAGCGGACGGAGGGAGGCTGGACACAGGAACACGGTACCGCTCGAGGTAGTCCTCCTCGCTAGCCTCCGAGTCAGCGGTAGCCGAGTCAGCGGTAGCCGCCCGTGACGGCGGCGACGCCGCGGCAATGCCCAAGGACCGGCGTGACCCGACCGATGCCGGGGAGGAAGCAGGCGAGCTCGGACCAGCAGCAAGCACCCCAGTGGTGTCGAGCTCTCCGGAGGCACCCGACGTCACAGTGAGGGACGGAGACGCCTCGCCAGCTCCGCGCCGATCGTCGGGGCCACTCGAAGGGTGTCCCCCATCGGAGTCGGAGACCTCCGGCGAAGACTCCTCGGGCGACTCGACAAAGTCCGAGGAGGAGCTGTCCTCTGGCTCGAGGAGTGCTTGCGCCCGCAAGGGCGTCATGCGCCTCGCACCAGACAAGAGCGCTTCCAGCGTCAGCTGCATGGTGAGGCGCTGATAGGTGGCGGCGCGTTTGCGAGCCAAGACCTCAGCAGCAGGTCCGTCATCAGGCACGAAGTGCCGACCAAACGCCGCATCCTCAAGAGGCATCGAGCGCTGAGCAATGATGTCCGCAAGATACCAGATGAAGCGGAGGGTGTCAGGATGCAGGGTACCGTCCGTCGAGATGGCAAGAGGGATGAACGCTCGAGGAGGAGTAGTCATAGCATATGCAGCGCGATGTTTGCGAATCTTCTCAGACGCTGCAACATGGAGGGCGTCGAGGTTGACCTCCCCCCACTTGGTCAGGTCGGCAGAGCTACCAATGTAAGGGTGGACCAACGTCACGTCCGCCATCAAGCCCTCGTACTGCTCGGACCCTCGATCGCGGATTCCAGGGATGTGGATATCGCCCTTCATCTTGCGGCCATGAGGATGGGAGGGTACCTGCCGTCGAGAACGAGGATCCCCCACTGTATCGATGACGCTCTGAAGACCAGCTTCGTTCAGCATCGACCGAATCGTACGAGTAAGGTTGTCATGCGCCGTTGGAAGCTTGGAGGATCGGCGTTTGCAGGTCTGGAGATGATGTGCAGCAACGGAGGGGTCGAGCTCGCGCTGACATCCATCACATTCCGTCGGACACTGGCAGATCGGCATGTCATGGAGATAGCAGTCGAGCATCTGAGCATAGCGGTGCGGGAAGGCCTTGAGGGGGTACCCATAGGATTTACTGGCAGAAGGTAAAAAGTAGTAGCTCGAGACTCGCATCGGAGAGTGGCTCAGGTCTCGCTCAGGAAAATGAGCGAAGATGGTAGACTGCAAGACCCTATCCTGCGACTTGAGCGAGTGTGTCCTGCGGCTGTGCAAGGTGAGGATATCACGCTGCTGATCGGTCAGCGCAGCGCGAGCATGCACATGGCGAGGGAAGACGCGCATGACAAGAGGGGTCACATTTCGCTGCGCAGGCGGAGGAATGAAGTGCTCATGAGACGAGTCGACGAGAGCGCGCAAACCAGGGATGTGTACCACAGATGCCGGGGGGCGTCCTGCGTCATCAGGCACAGCAGCCGGGGCAGGTGGGATCGCCGCGCCATCTGCAGCCGGTGCAGGAGCCTTGACACTCCGATGCCGCACAGCCCCGGTCCCTGGGCGTTGATGCGGCGTCGCCGCCGTCACGGGCGGTGTTGGTCTCGGCTACCGCTGACTCGGAAGCCGCCAGATACCAGATGAAGCGGAGGGTGTCAGGATGCAAGGTTGCTTGCAGCAAATCAAACACCGTCCGTTGAGATGGCAAGAGATACATACAAGAGGGATGAACGCACGAGGAGGAGTAGTCATAATCCTTTTTACCAGTCATGGCATATGCAGCGCGATGTTTGCGAATCTTCTCAGACGCTGCAACATGGAGGGCGTCGAGGTTGACTTCCCCCCACTTACAGTCAGATGCCTCCGGGTATCGCATCTAAGGGTGTCGGATTTACTGGCAGAAGGTAAAAAGTGCCTCCTATGCTATCGTCAAGTAAAACAAAGCAGGCACCGCATGGATTTACTGGCAGAAGGTAAAAAGTGCCTCAAGCAAAACAAGCAGGAACAAGCTAAACCTCCTGGCACACAGCGCACAGCGAGAAGCTGCACAAACACACACAGCTGGTCCGAGCTCGCCTGCTTCCTCCCCGGCATCGGTCGGGTCACGCCTTCGCCGGAGGTCTCCGACTCCGATGGGGGAAACATACACGGGCGGCTACCGCTGACTCGGCTACCGCTGACTCGGAGGCTAGCGAGGAGGACTACCTCGAGCGGTACCGTGTTCCTGTGTCCAGCCTCCCTCCGTCCGCTGCCCGGACCCCCGGGCAGCGCCGGCCGCCCGCTTTGTGGCGGCAGCGGACGTCTCGACTGACAGTGGTCAGTCGGCTGCCTCCGGGTATTGCGTCTAAGGGATGTTATTCCTCCTGCATGCTCCTGCTGCTTGTCGCTTGATTGCTTGACCCTTAGGCTGCTTGTCTGCGCGGCTTCGCGCTTGGGCTGGCGGTGCCGCGTCTGGGTGCCAGCAGTGCTGGTTCTTTTCGGGCTTGTGTTTTGTGTGTGTTTGTGCAGCTTCTCGCTGTGGACTGTGTGCCTGGAGGTTTAGCTTGTTCCTGCTCTGTTTTGCTTGAGGCACTTTTTACCTTCTGCCAGTAAATCCTATGTTCGCAAACATCCAGACGGTGGCGCCGACGACGGCGGCGCGGAGCTGGCGAGGCGTCTCCGTCCCTCACTGTGACGTCGGGTGCCTCCGGAGAGCTCGACACCACTGGGGTGCTTGCTGCTGGTCCGAGCTCGCCTGCTTCCTCCCCGGCATCGGTCGGGTCACGCCGGTCCTTGGGCATTGCTGCGGCGTCGCCGCCGTCACGGGCGGCTACCGCTGACTCGGCTACCGCTGACTCGGAGGCTAGCGAGGAGGACTACCTCGAGCGGTACCGTGTTCCTGTGTCCAGCCTCCCTCCGTCCGCTGCCCCAGGCGGACCCCCGGGCAACGCCGGCTCCTTGTCGGCGGCTGCCCTTTCTCCGTCCGCGGCCGCCCGCTTTGTGGCGGCAGCGGACGTCTCGACTGACAGTGGTCAGTCGGCTGCCTCCGGGTATCGCGTCTAAGGGATGTTATTCCTCCTGCATGCTCCTGCTGCTTGTTGCTTGATTGCTTGACCCTTAGGCTGCTTGTCTGCGCGGCTTCGCGCTTGGTGGTTAGGATTTACTGGCAGAAGGTAAAAAGTGCCTGGGCTGGCGCTGCCGCGTCTGGGTGCCAGCAGTGCTGGTTCTTCTCGGGCTTGTGTTTTGTGTGTGATTGTGCAGCTTCTCGCTGTGTGCTGTGTGCCTGGAGGTTTAGCTTGTAGCTTGAGGCACTTTTTACCTTCTGCCAGTAAATCCTATTCTTGTTCCTGCTTTGTTTTGCTTGAGGCACTTTTTACCTTCTGCCAGTAAATCCTATGACCCTTTGTCGGAGGTCTCCGACTCCGATGGGGGAAACATCCAGAGTGGAGCCGACGACCGGCGGCTGCTGGGGACACACTCGTACCTTTTTATTTCGCATCATTCTGCTCGCGTTGCTCGCTTTGAGCATCTGGAGATGGCTCGTTCGAAAGCATACACCGTGCCGATAGGCAGGCCTCCAAGTGTAATCCCGCCAGTCACCTCAAAGTGAAGAAGCTGAGTCTTGAGACGGCGCAAAACTTTCGAGAATCTCAAGCCTCTCGAGCCAAGAATCTCTCTCTTATGAAAGAGGCAAAGGTCAGCAGAGTGCTGGAGAGATAGGAGGCGAACAACCGGAGAGGCTCGGAAGACGGCAAGCTTGCACCTTCGTTGATGCTTCCATCAAAATAGTCGCGACTCGCCCTTCCCTCGATGGAGTCGAAGAGTGCCTGGCGGTCGAGGGAGTTGAAGGCGTTCTTTGCATCCCAACTACATCTTCATCATCGCCACGAGCGTGAAGAGGCAGGAGCGCGGACGCGGTTGGCGACCGAATCGCTCGAGGGTGAGACGAGAGGATGGATCTGCCTCCTCGACGAATGGCCGACAGGGCAGGAATCAGGAGGTCCGGCATCCGGCCAAGAAGGACCCCTTGGAGGATGTGTTTGCAGTAGAGCTTCAAAGCTGCAGGATTACCAGAGAGGGGAGACAGGTCCGCAAAGGCGCTGTAGCGCTTGATCGCCTGAATCAGGCTAGTGGTGTCGAGAATGTCAGTCAGATCCTGCTCCAGTGCCGCAAGCGCCTGCTGGGGGAGATGAGCCGCGGAAGCACTCCCCTAGGCAGGCGACGCACCAGCAGGAAACTTCTCTTGTGCTTCAGCAAGAAGATCAGCAAGATTGTCAGCCTCGTAGATGCCTGAGCTTAGCAGCGTCCGTACGCCAACTGAGTCTTTCGTCCGCTCGCAGAGGTGAGGGACAGGAGAGGCAACAGGCTCAGTCGGCCCTCTTGCCTTATGCGAGTAAATCTCTGCTGCTGCTGCTGCTGCCTTGGCTCTCTTGGAACAGTATTACTCAAGAGTTTTACTCGCATACTCAAGCAGAAGAAAGCAGCAACAAGCAAAACCTTCACGCACACGTGACACATCACACAGCGAGATAAAAGCTGCGCAACTAGCACTGCTGGCAACCAGGGAATGAGGGAAGCCGGGTATACAAGCAGGGAGGGGCAAGCGACAAGCACACCGGCACAGCAGTGGACGTGAGCCCCTACACGCGATGGACCAAGAAAGGGCAGCCGCTAACACAGAGCCGGAGCTGCCCGTCTCAAGACGTAATGGTAGCATTTGGTCGGCACTTTGCTCCTGATGATGGACCTGCTGCTGAGGTCTCGGCTCGCAAACGCGCAGCCAGCTATGAGCGCCTGACTATGAGGATGTGAGGGTGGAATAGCTAGCACTGAAAGAGGTCAAGTGTTGTCTCTTTCACACTTGACCTTCAGTTCTCAAGCTTCACTCTCGCGTCATCGAGCTTTCGCCATCCTCGCCTTCTCCATGGCCAGCTCAGCTTTCTGAAGCTCCTTCACTGCCTTGCCGATGTCGCCTGCCTTGAGGGCGGCGTCGGCGCTGTCCACGCTGAGATCGCTATGCACGAGGGCACTGACGACAGCGTCTTCGAGCTTCGGGGAGAGTTTCGCCCAGGATTGCCGGAACTTCTCCTCTGCCAGCGACAAGGTCTTGGAGATGCAGCTTTGATAGTCGGGGAGGGACCGCAGGTCATCTGCTCTCGCAGCCATCATGGTACTCTTGTCCTTCAACGCCCACATGTTGCTCAGCTCGTCCGCCCCCATCGCTCGCACGTTGGCCCTCAAGCTGCTCTGCAGGTCTTTGCTCAGCGCGTTGAGCTCCTCCTGCAGCTTCGCCTCTGACTTGTTCACAGCATCGTGGATGGAGGCGAGAAGAGCCTTCTTCTCATCCAGCTTGAAGGCCGCCTGCTCCTCCTCGTTCAGCGCGCCCTCCAGCTCTTTCTCTTCCTTCCTCATCTCCTTCAACAACGATCGCACGTGCGTCACCGACTGCTCGGGTCGCGAGAAGCACATCTTCACAAAGTCATCTGTCTCCCCACATGCTTTCTCGGCTATCATCAAGTTTTGCGCGAAAGAATCTTTCAATTCTTCTTTCTTCACGTTGAGAGATGCTGTCATTTCGCGCAGCTTCTTTTCTCTCAAGACCATCTCTCTTGTGGCGCGCTCCTTTGCAAGATCTGCAGCATCTTGCCGTTCTCTCTCTGCTTGATTGGCTTTGTTTTCTTTCTCTTTCATCTCTTCCAAATTTTTCTTGTGCATTGCAAGCTCCGCTGTTTTGATCGCGAGCCGATGTTTGCTAACGACGCCTCGCAGCTTCTGGTATCCGCTCATCGCCGCAAGCACGTCAGGACGGCAGCGGCCTCGGGCTGTCTGGTTCACAGAGAGCTGCATCTCTCTCAAGTTCCTCGACAACTCCTCCTGCACCTCCTCCGCCATGCTCTGTCAACCCCCGTCAGTGAGAGAGCCAAGGGAGCGGTATGACTACCTTGTGCGAGCTTTGACTCTGCTCCATCTCTTGGCGTAGCAGCAGCTCTTCTTCCTTTCTCTTCTCATTGAGCAGCTCGATCTCGATCTCTTTCATTCGCATGTGATACCTCAACCTCCAAGCATCCTCCACTCGCCTCGCCTTGTCTTGCAGCTCTTGCAGCCTCTCCTGAGCCTCGGGGTCCTCGAGATGCGCCTCCAGCTTCATCAAGGACTCGATCTCTTCCTTCACAGCGTGCACCTCCTTCTCCTTGTGCTCTTCGATTCGCCGCAGCTCAGCCCTCAGGTCTGATTCATTATACTCAACCTCCAAGTGTGACATCTCCCTCGTCACTTCGTCTCGCTGCTCTGACAGTCGTTTCCTTCTCATCTCCAGTCTTGACTTGTGTGGATCTTCAAGTCCAATCTTGACTTGATTCCTGTCTGCTCTGCTTTCTTGCTTATCAAAAGTTGACAGCTGTTTTTCAACTTCCGTCAGACTGTCTTCAATATCTTGGAGTTTGCTGCTCGCGTCCTCCATTTTCTTTTCGATTTCTCGTCTTGTAGTGGCGATCTTATGATCGAGCATGTCCTCAAACACGCTTGAGCGGCAGCAGACATCGCTTGTGTCTCCCTTCAGCTCCCACGCCAGTCTCTTCCCTTGTTCCTCCAAACGCTGCTCAGCCCTCACGCTACTCAGCTCCGCCTCCTCGAGCGCATGTCTCAGGTATCGAGCGCGCTCCTCCCCATCACTCTCGGCGTACTCGCTGTACTTGTGAGCGAGCTCAGGGTCAGCCAAGGCAGCAGACCAATGGGAGGCAGCAGCCGCATCAGCCTCGCGTCCCCTCGAGGTTCCCTGACGGAGGCTTCGGATGTGCTCGCGCAGGAGCACGTTCTCCTGCTCCAGGTACTCCGCCTGTCGCGTCCTCTCTTTCATGTCCTCGGCCAGCCTGAGCGCCTCCAGCTCAGCCTGAGTCTTGGTGGCAGAGGGGATGGACGGCGGGTCAGCTGGAGGCGGAGGCTCTTGGAGGAGGTCACGAGCTCGCTCCATGGCTCGTAGGTACTGCTGCATCATCTTGGCGAGCTCAACCTGACTCTCCTCGAAGCGTCTGCGCACCTCCTGTCCGTCAGCGTCTTGCTCCTTCTCTTGCTCAGAGTCTGCTGGGTGTCGCAGGTTGAGCAGGTTGAGTACAGCTCTGTTCGCCGCGTCTTCATCCCTCAGCTTTCGAATGTACTCCTTCGTGTCGCGATTGCGAATGACCTGATCCTTTGAAACCTCCTCCCCATCCTCCTCCTCCTCCCCCTCCCCCTTCCCCTCCCCCTCCTTCCCTGCTTCTCCCCTCTCCCCCGCCTCGTTCCAATCCTCCCCCAAATTCTGGTCATCTTCTTTCACGGGTAGGGCAGGAGCTCTGAGCGTGTGCAGCAAGTCTTTCATCACCTGCTTCAGCGTCCCATCTCCCTCCACCTTCTCTCCAGGTCCCGGCGGCTTGTCAGCCCCGCCTAGCTGGATGTGCTTCTGCTGGAGCTTCTGCCCAAGGGCTGCCATCTCTTGGAGCATGCGATCTCTTCTCTTCCCGAAGTCCTCCGGGGCTGGTCGCTCCCCTTGCTCGGCTAGATAGCTTTTGATCACCTTCGCATCCTCCTCCCCCACTCCGATCTCCTCGAGCTCGCGCAGAAGCTTGACTTCGCTGAAGCCGTCCTCCCCCATCCCTCGTCGCCACAGCGAGTCGACGTCTGAGATGCCCGCGTCATGCAGCGACTGACAAGCAGGGGAGGAGACGCGCTCGAACAGGCGATCCATCCCCGTCATCTTGAGCAGCTTCGAGTGCTTCTCGTGAGTCTCCACTATCGCCGCCTCCAGCATGTGCAGGACCGAATCCAGCTGTTGGGGGTCTGCTGGGACTTCTCCAGTTGGGGAAGCAGCAACTTCTTCTTCGCCTGCGTCGCGGAGGCTCTGCCAGGCGTTGACGCACTTTCTCAGCTTGATCTTGTCTAGCGTCGCTCGAGCCACCGACAGTTGGTCAGACACGCGATGGCTCCAGGCAGCGAATATGGAGGAGAGAAACAAGCCTTCGTGTCTTGCTCGAACTTGAAGGAGCTCGCCAGCTCGAGCCCTCCAGCTCCTGAAGCTATGGACAAGACTCTTCTTATCCAGGTAGCTGAAGGCCTTCCTGTCGCACAAGGACATCACAACCAGGTCTAGGCACAAGGACTACTGACCTGCCAGCTTTCAAGGTTGGACCAGACGCGCGGGCCTGGAGTTGAACAACAGAAGTAGCCGGGGAAGCGTCGAGAGTGAGTCCTCTAGAGGTCAAGGCAAGGTTGGTCTTGGCTTCAACGTCTGAACACTGGAGGGAGGAGAGCAGGGTCTCGAACAAGCCTTGACTGGTCTTCTTCCACTTCTTATACTCTTCTGATCGTCTCAGCTTCTCGTGCTTGCTCTGCACGATTTCAGAGATGTCCGCTTGCTCTTCTTGAGCCCTCAGCTCTTCTCCCAGCGCTTCTCTCGGCTCCTCGTCCTCTTCTCTCTTGTCCTGCAGCTCCAGCAGCTGCTCCTGAGCTTCCAGGGCCCTCAAGGCACTTTTCTCAGCTCGCGCGGCTGTGATGATGAGGGAGGCGGCCTCGAGCACGGCGAGCTGCTGGTCAGCATGACGGGAGAGGCTGGGAGCCGCCAGCTCGAGGAAGTTGGCGACGACCTCGCGGACCGACAGGCGCAAGAAGCGCTCAGGAGTTGAGAAGCCTCCCCGATGCAGAAGCTGAGCCGCGACCTTCATGGTCTCTATGGAGGGCTTGTTGGACAGCAGCTGGAGTTTCTCCTTGGAGATTCCCTCGAAGCTGCCGCTCGTGCCTTTAGGCGAATCGCCGCCGAACACGATGGGCATGACGGTGCGGAGAAGGGAAGCAGAGGGAGGAGAGCGACTGACTGACAGCTGGTGGAGTCTGGTGGCGATCAAGAGCTGGAGCAAGAAGGAGTCGACGAAGTCCTCGCCATGGAGCTGTAACATGCTCGTCAGTCCCTCGTGTCTCGCTGGCTCTCGTGCCTCTCACCGGGTCCAGCCTTGCCAGCCTCCCTACAGACCCTCCATGAGGCTCGTCGTCTCGATCGACTGCGAACCACGTGAGGATGGGGTTGTACTGCACTGAGTTGCAGATGGCGAGCAAGAAGGCGTCGTGTTGAACATCAGCGTCGTCAGAGATGAGATGCTGCTCAGGCATGTCAAGCTTCTGGTCGAGAGATCGGATGGCAGAGGTCAATCGTTGGTAGAACTGATTGCCTGGCCATTCTCCTTCCGTCTCGAGGTGGACTGAGATCACAGTGTCATGCTTATGAGCTTCTCTTCCCTCTGCTTGCGGCGCCACGTTGGCAAAGGGCAGCAGCTCTCGTCTCAGCTTCGCTTCAAACTCGCGGGTCAGAGTCTGCAAGTCTTTCATCCTCGGGCTCTTGTCCTTTCGCTGCAGCTCAAACAACACCTGCGAGGCTTCAGGGGCATCAACAGCCGCAGCCCTCTCGCACCTCCTTGATCTGTGAGAATGTCTCCTTCATCGTCGTGCCAAACTGCTCGGCGATTCGAGTTTGCATCTCCACTTGCGTCTGCTGTTGCCTGTCAAGGAGTCAGTCAGGCCCAGCGCGTCATTAGGCCGGCAGCACAGCTGATTCATCTGACGGATCTGAGCGTGCAGGTCTTGTCGCTCGCGCACCAGCGCGTTCTTCTCCATCTCTGCAGATCAGCAGGTCAGCAGCGTCAGGCAGCGGCAGACGCGCCTGCGAGAGAGAGACGATGATCGAAGATGCTCTTGTCAAGAGCTGCCAGTCGCTCTGAAAATGCCGCAGCTTTGCCCGAGAGCTGAGGGGCAGGAGCAGGAGCTCTCCCCTCCTTTTCTTCTTCCCCTTCTCCATGAAAGCTCCGCTTGTCTTGGTCGCGGCTCAGCTGGGGCTGGTCTGAGAGAGAGTCGATGCTGTGCTGGAGCTTAAGCTGGAGCTTCTCGTACATTCTCAGCTTGTCTTTGAAGGGCTCCCGCCTTGCTGACCTCTCAACCGGCTCCACTGCCTCCACTGCAGGGCGTCAAGACAGGAGGGGCACGAGCATTCGACTCACAGGAGGGATTCACTCGGGATCGATGCGAGCTTGGCTTGAGCCTCTTTCCCTTCCAGTCGGCAAAGAAGTGCAAGGAGCCTTCTCGCCCTCCCTGCTCCCCACTCTTCTCTCTCCTCGCCTCTTCAAACGTGACTGATCTTGGCGTCTTTGCACTCAGCGTGGGATGAGCGTCATGCTGGAGGTTGCTGGCAGCTGGGAGGGGATGAATTGCTCTGCTGGTGTGCTGGGAAGCAGCTAGTCAGCAGCTGACGCTCACGTCGCCCTCAGAGGAGCTTACGATCTTGTGCTTCTTCCGCCGCTTGTACTTGTCGACTCCCAGCTCAGCGGCAGCATCCCACCCGAGTGAGGCCGCAAAGACCTCGAAGGAAACTCCATGTGGGGCAACTGAGGGGAGTGAGCAGAGGAAGCAGACACGCCTCGCTTACATGTCCTCATGTCCTCCACCAGCCCCCGCAGATCCATGTCGAACAACGAGTGCTTCTGAACGAGAGACGCTAGTCCTCTTCGTGACGTGTCAGAAAGCGAAAGTAAGGAGAAGTAGGTAGACATAGAACAACAGGAGGAGGAGGAGGAGGAGGAGGAGGAGGAGGAGGAGGAGGAGGAGGAGGAGGAGGAGGAGGAGGAGGAGGAGGAGGAGGAGGAGGAGGAGGAGGAGGAGGAGGAGGAGAAGGAGGAGGAGGAGGAGGAGGAGGAGGAGGAGGAGGAGGAGGAGGAGGAGGAGGAGAAATCTTACTTCTCGAACTGTTCGAGACTGATTGGTCGACGTGAAGTTCCTCCAAGGGCAACGAACACCTCAGCAGCCGTTTCATACCTTTCCGTCACTCTCGTAAGAACGAGACCCCAGATGAAACGAAGCAAAAGTATAGAAAGAAAGCTCATCGCAATCTTGTATCTACTTGTCTTGTGTATCTACTGTCTTGTGTATGTACTTGTCTTGTGTATCTACTGTCTTGTGTATCTACTGTCTTGTGTATCTACTGTCTCGTGTATCTACTGTCTTGTGTATGTACTTGTCTTGTGTATGTACTTGTCTTGTGTATGTACTTGTCTTGTGTATGTACTTGTCTTGTGTATCTACTGTCTTGTGTATGTACTTGTCTTGTGTATGTACTTGTCTTGTGTATGTACTTGTCTTGTGTATGTACTTGTCTTGTGTATGTACTTGTCTTGTGTATGTACTTGTCTTGTGTATGTACTTGTCTTGTGTATGTACTTGTCTTGTGTATGTACTTGTCTTGTGTATTGTCTTGTGTATGTACTTGTCTTGTGTATGTACTTGTCTTGTGTATGTACTTGTCTTGTGTATGTACTTGTCTTGTGTATGTACTTGTCTTGTGTATGTACTTGTCTTGTGTATGTACTTGTCTTGTGTATCTTCATGTCTTCTTCATTCTTTCCTCACCTCTTCGCAAGAGCCTCTCGCAGGCTTTGCCATCGCCATTCGCTTCGTTCCCTCATTTCCGTTAGCCTCCCGGAGCCTACACGATAGCGAGCTCCCCTCAGAAAGACGTCTAATAATGTAATTTTAAACCTCAATGCGGCAAAGCAGAGGAGCGGCTCACGTTCAAGTGCCGGCGAAACAAGCGAAAGAAGCATGCAGCTGCTCTTATCTTCTTCATCTCTTATCTGCCTGACTATCTCCCTACTCTTCTCTCACTCTCGTCACATATTTCTGCTTCGTCTTGGTTGATCTAAACCTATTCCTGCTGATCCTTGTACTATATTCAGATGGCTATTTCAGACTACATGTCAAGCTTCTTTTTTCCTTGTTGATCACATCTCCTCTCATCATCTCTTTTCTAACCTCCCCGAACTCCCCTGCTGCATTGTATAGTAAGAAACCTTAGCTGCTTCTTTGCCTATTCCTTCCAGTTGCTACTGCTTTGCGTAACTACTTGACCACGCTCACTGTCGGCGAGCATTGCATGTCCTGCTGCAATCACATGCGCAATAGCATGGGCTAAGCTGTTTCCTGCATTTTAGAACAAGCCAGCCTCACATCTTGTATCTCCCTCTTGTCCTCTGACCGCAGCGTGTGCTGTGCCAGTTTCGGTGTCATGGGGTCTGATACTTTTATGCCCCTCATTAGGACAATCGAGCGCAAAGGAGGAGAGACGAACTTGAGCCGTATGAGTGCGCCAGCGGCTTCAGTTGCCATGGAGGAGGAGGAGGATAGCATACAAGCAACACCCGTGAGCGAGAGGAAGAGGGAGCTACCAGCCATGGACCTTCCTCTGCGAAAAGAGAAGAAGAGTTGCTTGCCTGCTCTCCCGTACCTCGCGACACCTCAGGCCGTCTGGTGTTCACCTTGTCTGAGTGATGTGAGTTTGACTGCCACCTGCCAGGGATGATGTCTGCCAGATGGCAAAGTCATTAGCTGAAGCCACTCCCGACAACGACTACCTGCGATCGTGCGAAATCCTTTCGGAGGAAGAATTTCTGCAACGAAGACTGAACCGAATCGAAAGACTTCTGAGCACATACAAGTGAGGGAGAAGGAGCAGCAGCGATAGCCTAACACCTCGACAGATCGGAACTTGAAACAATCGACTGCGACCTGAAGAGAAAGAAAGAGGCGCTGCACCAGAGCGTTCAGCTAGGTATCTTCATCCTTCAGTACTCCTACTTCTCTTGTTCATCGCCATCGTTTCTTCTTGCAGGTTTAGCGAAATCTCGACTCGGGGGACGAGCTTATGCGGGGTGGAGCCTCTCTCAGGATGACGTCAGCGTGGAACAAGTGCGCTGATCGCTGCCCTTGGATCTGCTGATTCTCGATTGACAGTCCGGGGAGAGAGATGGCAACACCTCCTGCTGTGCGTTAGGCGACGGAGAGAGTGTCTGTGGGATGGTATCGTTGACTTGCTTGCTCATGATCGAAGTTGAAGTCCACCAGGTCTGTCTTCCTTTCTCCAGCTTCTGCGCAGAATGTATCTCGCAAGATGCGGAGCAGGTGATGTTGACGAGGGATGGTGGTGGGGCTCGAGGTCACGGAAAGTGGCAGGCGCTTTATCATCGATGTCCCGAGACAGGCAAGTCAACGATCCGGCAGGTAACTTGGAGTTTGCTAGCGACAGTTCTGATGAGAGCGGTCAAGGTTTCAAGCTCTCAGCTCGCAAGGTTTGACATCTCCGTGTCTTCCTTGCTCCCTCAATTGGTTCCTCTCTTTCTGCAGATTTCAGCTGGAAAAATCCCAACAGCAGGTCAGCAGCTCGATGATGTTTGTTGTTGTGACAGCGAACAAGGCGAGGGAGGAGAAAGCAGAGGCTTCGTCACCTGCTGATTCAGTGATGGCTTGCCATGCTCAGTTGTTGCCTGACCCTCAACCGCAGTTCCGCAAGATTGTGAACAAGGTAAGGGAAAAGAATTTCTTCACACCCTACCGACTTTTGGCAACAGGACACAAGAGCTGCTCCTAAGCTAGACGTGGTGACGGCTGGTCGCGTGACTCTACCCCTTACTCCTCTTGCAGCTTCCTTTTGCTCTTGAGAATCACGCGACTGCGAGCCCACAGCTTGCCATCTCCACGCCTGACAGAAAGATCGCAGCGAGTGAGAAGTTTTCTTTCGCTTCGCTTCACTTCCTCGGTCCCCCGCAGCCTCGTTTCCTCTCACTCCCTCGCCCTCTGTCCTCGTCCTCCTTCCTCGTCCTCTCGGTGATTCTCTCCAGGTCTCTCAGCGGCAGCCATCGGCATGACTCCCTTCCCGCACGGTGACCCTCGTTTCCTCTTGGCTCCCTTCCTTTCCCTCAATTGGCAAATTCAGCAGCTGCTATCTCAGCTCCCAAGGCAAGCTCCGCTTCTAGTGACGGCAAGCCCTCGGTCAGTTGCCTCCTTGTTTTGCAATGTGATGTTCCTGTGCTGGTCTGCCATCGCTTTCTTCCTCGCAGTTGCTCCTTCCGTCTCTCCTTCTTGTCTCCTCATGTTCATGCTCTCTCGCTCCTTCCGTCTTTACCAGCTTCGCTCCTCCTCGGCTCCTCCTTGTAGCCTCGCTCGCCAACTTCTGATCGCCCGGGGGTTCCACAGGTGAAGGAGGAGAAACTCGCTGAGAGCGCGACCCGGTCAGGTGCTCCTGCGCAGGACCAGGACAAGGAAGCGAGTGAGAGAGAAGAGAAAGAGGAGGAGCCGCAGGTCCTGCACATGCCAGAGGAGCAAGAGGGTAAGGCTGTCTGCAGGGGGAGAGCTGGTCACATCCTGCAGATGTAGGAGAGAGCGAGACAGGAGGAGGAGGTGAGGGCAGGCAGGTAAGAGGCAGAGAGAGCTGAAAGCTTGGGATCACGTACTTCAAAAGCAGGAGGATGAAGAGAACGTGAGCAGCCCGACGGTGGAAGGACTCGTGGACATGATGGCGGAGATTCAGGAGCTGCGAAGCTCGTCGGCCATGTAAGAGGAGGAGGGGAGGAGGGGATAGGAGATGAGCGAGAGCAGAGAGGTGGGAAGGAGAAAGAGGAAAAGGGGATGTGAAGTTGCTTAGGGGGAGAAGTCTAACAGGTATCAGGTGCGAGGCGTCGAAGCAGGAGGAGGAGGACTGAGGGGAGGAGGAGACGAAGAAAACAAGAAAGATATTTTTTTGTCTTTCATTTCACAGAGTTCAATCTTATTGTTCCCCCGCTTTCTCCTCCTCCGCCATGGGCAAACGTACTGCCTCGTTCTTCCCCTCCTTCCCGTCTCCTTCATTCCTCTCCTTGCCTGGTCGCGGTGGAATAACGATATGAGGGGCCTGCAGGATATGGTGCGATCAGAGAGCAGAGGAGGGGGAGAGGGAGGAGCAGGACGTGGAGAGGTGGGGGGAAGGAGCAGGAGTGGGAGGTCTTGGATTGAGTTCTTCTGTCAGTACCTCGATGCTGTTGGGCGACCGACAGGCCAGGCATCCGGTCTGCTTGCTCTGCTCCAAGAACGTCCTGCCGTCCGATGATGACTCCCACTTCCCCTTCCTCTTCTCACCCCTCCTTTCCTTCCCCATCTCCCCTCTCCTCCTTCCTCTTCTCATCCCCCCTTCCTGTCCTCAGCTTCGGATCCCCAGCCTCCCTCCGCGTCACCTCGCCGCTCCGCTTAGCAGGTCCTCGAGCACGGCAATGTGATTGCTCAGGTCCTTGATGAGCGCGTCCTTCCTCCTCAGCTGCCTCACCCTCAGCAGGGGAGGACGCGGAAGGAGAAGACAAGGAGAGCCAACTTCACCTGCTCACTCAACTCGGAGATTTCAAAGCGAAGGCTTGCAAGCAACTTCTGGTCCTGCCGAGGAATCATCAAGATGAGGCTGGTGCTGATGTTTCTACTTGCTCTCCTGCTCGTTTCTCCCTCTCTACCAACCTCATCGTCCTGCTGGCCTTACAGCCCTCCACCTCTGCTCTGCTCGTCTCCTCTGACTCACATGCTCGATCCTCTCATGCAGCATTGACTGTGAAATCTCCACGTCCTCTCGCAACCGAGCGACTTCATCGCGATGGTCCACCTTCTCAGCTTGAAGCTGCAGCGCTGTCAGTGCTGCCCTCTTCCTCCTGCTCCTCCTCTGCTACCTGCGACTGCAGCGCTTGGACCTGCTGAGTGATGGCTGCATGCTCCGCGTCTCTCCTCCTGTCAGCTCGTTAGCTGCGCGAGGTATCGGCCGCCTACCTCGTCTCTTCCTCCAGCCCTGCGAGCTCAATACCCAGCTTCTTCTCCCTCTCCTCCTTCTCTGCCTGCGGTCCCCTGAGCAGGAATACAAGTCGTAGATGCAGCAACAGCACGAGGAAGAGGAGGGGTAGGAGGAGGAGGAGGAGGAGGAGGAGGAGGAGGAGGAGGAGGAGGAGGAGGAGGAGGAGGAGGAGGAGGAGGAGGAGGAGGTGGACGACGTAGAA